TTCTTTCTTTCTTTCTTTCTTCTTTCTCTTTCTTTCTTTTTTTCTCTCTCTCTCTCTCTTTCTTTCAACTTTATTTATTTGAGAGAGAGAGCATGAGCAGGGGGAGAGGCAGAGGGAGAAGCAGACTCCCCACTAAGCAGGAGCTGAACATCCAAGCCTCAACCGGGAGCTGGCCATTCTTTCTTCTGTGTCTCTGTCTGTTGTCCCTTCGGTGTACCCCCACATCAGTGGGTTAGTTATTGTTCCGAATAAAGAATATTTGCATGTGATGCAAAATGCAAAAGGACTGCAAAAAAGCCCAGTGAAAAACCTCTCGCTCCCTCCTCTCTGCCACCCAGTTCTCCTCCTAAAGGGCAGCCAGAGTTACCAGCTTCTTGGGGCTCCTTCCAAGGATTCTCTTCCCTCTGCTGGCTTGTGTACTATGTATGTGTGTATGTATGTTGTCCTTTAATAAGCCAAAGAGGAGCTTATACACTGCTCTGCACACAACTCTATTCACATTTCTTTGAGTTGCCTCCATATTGGTGCATAAGGAGTGTCTTTATTTTTTCCCGCAGCTATATAGTGGGATAAACATGATTTAAATTAACCTGTTTCAGGGCGCCTGGCTGGCTCAGTCAGATGAGCTATGGGACTCTAGATCTCGGGGTTGTGAGTTCGAGCCCCACGTTGGGTGTAGAGATTACTGAAAGAATAAATAAAACTTAAAAAAAATTTTTTTTAAGTTAACCTGTTTCACAGTGATGAAGATTTCATTTGTTTCTGATCTTTTATGTGTATAAACATGCCACCTAATACTTTGTGTGTAACAGACAACCTTGTATATATAGTGGTTCACACAAACAGGAGTGACTCTGTAGGGTAGCGGCCCCGAGTGGAACATGCAAGGATTTTAACATGTGCTTTTCTCTAGGCCAAAGGATGCCATTCGAGCCCTGAAGAAGCGGCTCAACGGGAACCGGAACTACAGAGAGGTCATGCTGGCTTTGACTGTGAGTGCTGCCCTCGTTGGGGTGGGAAAGCATCTGGGGGAATCCACGTTCACGGCCCTGCCCCACCCCCAGGGCCTTCTCTCTGTCCACTCAGCACAGCCTCCAGCAGCCACAGCCTGTGGATGGCTTGGTGCGAGCACCACTGGGGTGTAGCAGAGCCTTCCCATAGTGCCCTTGGGTTTGCCTGCCTTCCCCCAAAGTAGTGGATGAGCTGCAAGCTGGTACATAGGAGCAGAGGATCAGGCACATGCAGCACTGACTAGTACAGAAACCCAGAGCGGAGAAGCTGAAGGGCCTGGCTGTGGATATCCTTCCGGCCACCAGCCTGCTGTGACCCAGCCTTGTTAGTTGCCTTCCTAGGTGTCAAGTCCCTCCTTACAAACCTGCCACCTTCTACCCAGAATCTGCCCGGGACTGTGCTGAGCTTTTCAGGTGTTAAAGCGATTGCTTACAGTAACCTTCCCAAACAGATGTCATCATCCCCTCAATCTAGAGAGAGGTCTGGGGGTTTGCCCAGACTTTGGGCTAATGAGTGCCCAGCTGTAGATTATGTGGGTAAAAACTGGTCTTTGGTGCAGAGATTCTGGAAAAAGTCAGCCTAGTGACTCCTTTTGGGAAGAAACAGACCAGATTTTTGCCCTTTCTTAAAATGTCAGGAAACTCAAAGGGACAACTTCGGGTGTTATTTCTTTCTGGAAAGCTAACAGTTATTCAGACGTGGCCAAATCTGGGCCACAGTGAGTTCTTATAATGCAAGCTATAACAGGTCAGCACGTGGGCCTCTCTGCAGGTTTGAAGAGTTTATTGTTTATCCAAAACAGCTATAACATGTTTCCTTTTAAAGCAGAGAAACTGGATTTTTCACCCAAGTGAAATCCCAAGACTTATTAGGAGAATATTCTCTGCCTGGGAATTGAGATATGAATAATAAAGACGAAAAAGACCAGCTGAGAAATAGTGACTTGAAAGCTGTTGGTTTATTCTCAGAAATTAAGCCATGGCATTCACTAAACCCAGAGTGATGCCCAAAATGAATTGTTTTCAGTAACTAAAATCACCAGAGAATGAACTAGAGATGTTGGGGCGGTTTCCTGGTACCTAAAACATATCCCTTTACATTCCCAACTTCATGGTCACCATGTTGGTTAGATGGAAATCTTTCTTTTTTTTAAGATTTTATTTATTTATTTTAGAGAGAGAGTCCACGAGAGTGGGGGGAGGGGGAGACGGAAAGGCCAGAGAATCTCAAGCAGATTCTGCGCTGAGCATGGAGCCCAACGCGGGGCTTGATCTCATGACCCTGAGATCACAACCGGAGCCAAAACCAAAGAGTTGGACATTTAACCCGACTGAGGCACCCAGGCGCCCAAGGATGGAAATCTCTCTAAAGTGGTCTCTGTCTTTACTTCCTTCTGGAGGAACATGGTGAACATCATTGAACCTTTCCTAATGGTTAGGTTTATTATTATTATTATTATTACTCCCCCAGCTTTATTGAGATATTGACATATTACATGTAGGTTTAAGTTATACAGTGTGATGATTTGATACACGTGTGTATTGCAAAATGATTACCGTCATAAGGTTAGTAAACACCTCTGTCCGCTCACATAATTACCTTCGTTGGGGAAGGGGGGGATAGCATTTAAGATCTAATTTCTTGGAGCGCCTGGGTGGCTCAGTTGGTGGAGCGTCCAGCTCTTGATTTCTGCTCAGGTCATGATCTCGGGGTCCTGGGATCAAGCCCCATGTCGGGCTCCCCGCTCAGAGGGGAGTCTGCTTGAGGATTCTCTCTCACTCCCTCTGCCACTTCCCCAGCTCTTGTGCATGTGCACACATGCGCACTCACTTGCTCGCTCTCAAATAAATAAATAAATCTTTAAGAAAGAGATCTGATTTCTTAACTGTAAAGTATATACTACAGTATGGTTAATTATAGTCATTATGCTGTATGTTAGATCCGTAGAGCTTACTCATCTTTTAGCTGGGAACTTGTACCCTTTGACCAGTATCTCCCCATTTCCCCTGCCCCACAGCTACCATTCTACTCTGTCGCTATGAGTTCAGCTTTTTTAGATTCCGCATATAAGTTGGAAAATTGGGTGTTTGTTTCTCTGTATTTGACTTGTTTCACTTAGTGTAATGACCTCAGGGTCCATCCATGTTGTCGCAAAAGGCAGGATTTACTTCCTTTTTATGGCTGAATAGTATTCCTGTGTGTGTGTTTGTATACGTGGATAAAGAGATACCACACATGCATCACGTTTTCTTTATACATTCACCCCTCAGTGGATACTTTGATTGTGAATAATGCTGCAGTGAACATGGGGGTACAGATATCCCTTTGATACCCTGTTTTCATTTCTTTTATTTATTTCTTTTATTTTTTTTTTAAAGATTTTATTTTATTTATTTGAGACAGAGGGAGAGAGAGAGCACAAGAGGGGGTAGGGTGAGAGGGAGAAGCAGACCCCCTGCCGAGCAGGGAGCCCGATGTGGAACTCGATCCCGGGACTCTGGGATCATGACCTGAGCTGAAGGCAGTCATTTAACCAACTGAGCCACCCAGGCGCCCTCATTTCTTTTAGACACATACCTGGAAGTGAGATTGCTGGATCATATGGTAGCTATGTTTTTAATTTTTTTTTTTTTGAACCTCCACACTGTCTTCTATAGTGGCTGCACCAATTTGCATTCCCACAAACAGTGCACAAGGATTCCCTTTTCTCTACATCCTCGGCAACACTTGTCTCTTGTCTTTTTGATAATAGACATCCTAACAAGTGTGAAGTGATCTCTTATTGTGGTTTTGATTTGCATTTCCCTGATTAGTGATGTTGAGTATCTTTTCATGTACCTCTTGGCCATTTGTGCATCTTCCTTGAACACATGTCTGTTTAAAGTCCTTTGCCCATTTTCTTTAAGTTTATTTATTTATTTTTAGTAATCTCTGCACCCAGTATGGGGCTTGAACTCACAACCCTGAGATCAAGAGTCACATGCTCTGACTGAGCCAGCCAGGCGCCCTACCTTTGGCCGCTTTTAATTGGATTGGTTTTGGTTTTTTGTTGTTTTTTGGGGGGCTTTTTTGCTCTTGAGTTAAGTTCCTTATATTTTTTTTGATATTAACCCCTTATTGGATAGATGGTTTGCAAATATTTTTTCCCATTCTGTAGAGTGCCTTTTAAATTTTGCTGATTGTTTCTTCTGTGCAAAAGCTTTTTAGTTTGACATAGTCCCACTTGTTCATTTTCATTTTTGTTGCCTTTGCTTTTGGTGTCACATTGAAAAAGTCTCTGTCAAGGGGCGCCTGGGTGGCTCAGATTAGATTAAGTGCGTGCCTTCGGCTCAGGTCATGATCCCGGGGACCTGGGATCGAGCCCTACGTTGGGCTCCTGGCTCAGCGGGGAGCCTGCTTCTCCCTCTCCCCCTGCTCATGCTCTCTCTCTCTCTCTGTATCTCTGTGTCTCAGATGACTAAATAAAATCTTAAAAAAAAAAAGTCTCTGCCAAGACCAGTGTCAAGGAACTTTTTTCATGTGTTATCTTTTGGTAGTTTTACAATTTCGGGTCTTACATTTAAGTCTTTAGTCCATTTCGAGTTAATTTTTGTGAGTGGTGTAAGATAGGGGTGCAGTTTCATTCTTCTGCATGTGGTTAATCCAATTGTCCCAACACTGTTTATCAAAGAGACTTCCTTTCCCCATTGAACCCTCATATCTCTCTTATCAAATATTAGTTGGCCATATATTTATGTATGGGTTTATTTCTGGGCTCTCAATTCTGTTCCATTGTCTTTTTTTATTCCAGTACCATACTGTTTTGATTATTATAGCCCTGTAATATAGTTTGAAATCAGGAACTATGATGTCTCCAGCTTTATTATTATTTCTCAAGATTGCTTTGGCTATTCAGGGTCTTTTATGGTTCCAGATGAATTTTAGGATTTTTCTCCAATTTCTGTGAAATCTGTAGATGGCTTTGGGTAGTATGGACGTTTTAATAATATTAATTCTTCCAATCCATGAATATGGGATATCTTTCCATTTATTTGTGGCTTCTTTAATTTCTCTCATCAGTGTCTTAAAATTTTCAGGGTATAGATCTTTCACTTCCTTGGTTAAATTTATGCCTAAGTTTTTTGTTTTTTGTTTGCTTGTTTGTTGATGTGGTCATGTCTTCACTGCAAATCCAGAGATGCCTTTGGGAGCCTTCTGACATGGGCAGATCCCTTGTCCCCACACCAAAGGCTCACCAAAGGCTCCAGCCTGGTGCATGTTGTGGGATCTCATGTCTACCTTTATGGCTTCTCTGTCTTTGTCTTCCTTTACTGTATTAGCTGCTCTCAGTCCTCCTGCTCCTTGTGGGCCTTTGACAAGTTCATCAGAGGCCGGGAGAGGCTCTCTCCTTTGGTGTATAGACAGTGTATGGACTTGAAATAGACTTGAAACCACCATTTCTGATTGCTTAGAGGCACTTTTTGTCACTCTGTGGGCTTCAGCTGCTGGAAAATGGTCGCTGTGTGTTTCATGCCCTACAACCCACAGGGACCCATTTACCAGGGGCATTTTTGGCAGAGTCCCTGAAGTGGCTGAGTGGCCCTTGCCAGCCAGGGAGGACCTCCTGCGTCTGCTGCTCTGCTAGGTTTCAGGGCTGCTCTGGAGCACACACCACCTCTATCCAGGGCACTTCCAAACCTGTATCTGAGCTGCAAGGGCCAGCTTAGGCCACAGTGACTTTATTTTTATTTATTTATTTGTTTGTTTATTTATTTATTTATTTAAAGATTTTATTTATTTGAGAGAGAGAATGAGATAGAGAGAGAGCATGAGAGGGGAGAGGGTCAGAGGGAGAAGCAGACTCCCCGCTGAGCAGGGAGCCCGATGCGGAACTGGATCCCAGGACTCTAGGATCATGACCTGAGCCGAAGGCAGTCGCTTAACCAACTGAGCCACCCAGGCGCCCTGCCACACTGACTTTAAAGTCTGCTCTCCTGGAAGACATAAGGATGTGCTCTCCAAAGGTGAGATGGGCGTCCTCGCCCACTATTGGCCCTGAGTGTGGTGACAGAGCCACGGTGGCCCTGCCATGTTGGCCTTCCTGCTCCCCTTTATGCCATGTTCTTTCCCACCACACCTGCTTTCTTCCCAGCCTCCTGCCCCTCCCTTCCTGCCTGCTCCTCGTAAAATAAACCATTCTTCCTGCCACCTGCCTTGGCCTCAGCAGCCCGATGCCTGCATAGGCAAAGTTTGGAGAGGGTTTTAGAGGATGCTAGAAAGAAGGGAAGCTATGAGTTCCTGGAGGGCAAGAAGAACCCTTCTGGTTCCTCTCTGCAGTCCCTGCGGTCACTGTGAGGGTGAATGCTAGTTACCTTGTGGTCACCTGGAATCAGGCACACACAGAGGCTAAGAAAGACAATGCCCCCTTGGCTGAGGAAAAGCTCAGTGACCCGAGGATGCTGAGCTTTGGGGTCTTCTTGGGCAAGCCAAGCAGAACCCAGAGCCTCCCATGGTGCAGGCAGGCAGGCAGTGGGGAAAGGCACCGTTTTGACTGGCTCTGTGGCTGTCAGGCAGGGGGCACATGCCAGCTCTGGCCTCCTCGGGGAATTTACCAGCATCTCCAGGCCTCAGCTTCATCATCTCGAAAATGGGATAATACCCACCTTTCTGGGCAATTTCCGGGACCAGATGAAGGAACAAGAAATCTGTCACCCATTGCTTGTCATCTGAGGGACTCCCTGATCTCTTGGGGGGTGGGGGAGGTAGCCCTGTGGCCTCTTCGTGGGTGAGGAGGCAAGGGCTCCGGAGAAGGCTGATCCACTTAAAGAGAGTTAATTCGTTGTGAGACTGGAATGAAATGGTACATAACGTGGAGGCTCCCGCATGGTGCCCAGCTTGTAGTCCACTCTCCGTCAGTGTTAAGGGTGTGGGCCTTTCCTAATGGCCATGCTTTGTCAAGGCTCATTGTATGAACCCAGCCCTGTGGAATGGCTGCGTAAGGTAACCAGTGGTCAGCTCCGTCTGGGCCACTGAAGATACTCAGGCAGCCAGAAATGTCCTCTGTTGCCGGGCACATTCCAGGGAGGCATTTCCCACTAGCTGACCGTGGCACTGGGGGGTGCTGGTGTGGGAAGGGCCAGGTGATTGTATGGGCTGGTTTACAGAGAGCTGAGAAGTTCATGCGGCGCCTGGGTGGCTCAGTCGGTTAAGCGTCTGCCTTCGGCTCAGGTCATGATCCCAGGGTCCTGGGATGGAGCCCCACATCGGGCTCCCTGCTCCGCGGGAAGCCTGCCTCACCCTCCCCCACTCCCCCTGCTTGTGTTCCTTTTCCTCCCACCATTGTGCTGTCTGTTTCTCTGTCAAATAAATAAATAAAATCTTAAAGAAAAAAAAGTTCAGGAAGCTGTGTTCAAGGCTGGAGAGACCCTTCAGTGGGTACCTCTGAATTCCAGGGGGCCTCTCCCCTGTACTGTGGGGACTGGGAAGTTTTTCCTTTCCTCAAGTGCGTACAGCAGCCTCCTGAATGGTAATCATAACATCATGGTCCTCATTTACTGCCCCCACCCCCAACGCAGGGCACTGTGCTAGGTGCTTCAAACATACTCTGTCATCCTTACTACAGTCCTGCAAGGGAGGCACTCATGTGCCCACTTTACAGGTGAGGAAGCTGAGGCTCAGACAGGCTTGTCCTGGGCCATTTAGGGAGGAGGTGGCAGAGCTGAGATTCAAGCCCACACTGGCCATCCGGCCAGAACCCACGCGCACTGTGCTTTTGAGTGGCTAAGGCCTATGTACCTAATTTTTCCAGACAGGGGAAGAGTGAGCAGGGTTTGGAGTGAACATGGACCTGGGAGCTGACTGGCAGCAGAAGCCCACAAACCGTTTATTAAGAGTAGAAAATCCTTAGTCATTGCCAATTTGACTTGCAGAGGCAGGGTTGTGTGGGGCGTGTACGTGTGTATGTGTGAGGGTGAGTGAGTGAGTGTGAGTGTGTGTGTGTGTGTGTGTGTGTTTGCTTGCTTCCTCACATCCAAGGGCCGATAATTCACGTGGCAATTCAGGCTGTCACGGCCGCCCTCTCTGTGACAGAGCCTGAGTCCCATTGGCTAATGTCTCACACCCAGGAGCCCGGAGAGAGGAGTTAAAATGCTAATTTTCAGGGGCCGCTCAGTCATTTTGATCTCATTAAAACACCAGCATCCTTCTCATGCAAAACTGGTGCCTCAATTACCAACTAATTGCCTGATTATTGTGCAGGGACAGGCGACTTTAGTCAGCAAGGGACGCCTGAATTAGAGTGGAGGGATGCAGTGCCGTCCGTGTGTGACCCTGGAGGAGATGGTGGGGCCACGTGGGAGAAGCAAAGGGTGGGGTTAGGGTGGAAACTCGGCTGCCACGGTGGTGACCCTGCTTTCCTCTCCTCCCTCCCCAGGTGCTGGAGACGTGTGTGAAGAACTGTGGCCACCGCTTCCACATTCTCGTGGCCAACCGGGATTTCATCGACAGCGTCCTGGTCAAAATCATCTCTCCCAAGAACAACCCTCCCACCATTGTGCAGGACAAGGTGCTCGCTCTGATCCAGGTAGGTGAGCGCCCCTCGTGCAATCTGTTGGGACTGAGTGAGGTGGGGCCCCTCAGCAGGGGGTCCTCGTGCTTTCCCATCATTTGGAGGAAAGAATGGAGACCCTAGACCCTCCTGGGTTTAAATACCTGTTGCGAAATGCTTCTGCTTCTCCGCTCATCGCACTGGAATAAAACCCTGAGAGGTAGCTCTCAAGCCAGTTGACAGAGCCTTCACTGGTTTTCTGGGTGCCATGGCTCTCTGTTGCCCCCAGGGGCAGGTGGGGGGCCCTGCGAGGCTCCAGGCCATCAGGGACAGTGTGGAGTAGGAAGGGCCGTACTGGAGCCATATGCAGAGCTGGTGAGGCACTGGGTCGGGGCCAGCTCCGCGGCAGGCGGGCTGGGATCGGGGGAGACGGTGTTAAAGGAGTGATTCACTGAGGAGATGACATTTCTGTTGGACCCTGAAGGATGTGGGGAGCTTGGCGGAGATGTCGGAGTGTGAGAAGTAGCGAGGGCGAGGGGGATAGCATGTGCATCGAAAACACATGACACATGCGGGATGTATTCGGTATTAATGGCTCTGTAACAAATTATCCCAAAACTTAGGGGTTTAACACAGCAAATGTTTATTACCTCATTGTTTCTGTGGGTCAGGAATTCAGGAGCAGCTTAGCTGAGTGATTCTAGCTCAGGAGCTCTCAGGAGGTTGTGGTCAAGACGTCAGCCAGAATTGCCTCATCCGTGAGCTCGGTGAGCTGGAGGAGCCATGTCCAAGGTGGCTCACCACAGGGCTGTTGGCAGGAGGCCCCAGCTGCTCGCTAACTATTGGTAGGAGGCCTGAGTTTATTGCTGTGTGGACTCCTGAGTGTCCTCATAAAATGGCAGTGGGTTGTCCCTAGAGCAAACGATCCAAGAGAGCTCGGGAAAGAAGCTGTGGTGCCCCTTGGGACCGACTCTCAGAAGTCATGCACCATCTCTTCTGTCCTATTCCATTTGTTAGAAGGGAAGTCCCCAGGTCCACCCTTAAGAGTCGGGGAATGAAGCTGCACGTCTTGAAGAGAAGAGGCTGCTTTAAAGCCATCACATGGAGCATAGAGTGTGATGAAGAATATCTGAGGCCAGAAGGATGGTCAGGGGCTTGTGGGCCGTGCATCCCGATAGTCGGTGTTCTGTCCTGGGGGCTGTGGGGAACCACTGCACATTTCTGAACTGGGTGTACACAGAGGGATCTGGATTCTAGACCGAGCCCCCTGGTGACAGGGTGGAAGGCACATTTGTCAGTGAGCACATTAGTGCTGTTGTCTGCAGGAGCCAAGAGGAGAGGGGGGTGGGCTGGGCTGGGCAGGAGGCACTGTGATCCGAGGTAGGCACGGGGTATCTGAGGTGGTGGTGGCACCTGAGCCTGGAGAGGAAAGTGGGGCCCTGGCTGAGGTTCTCTCGGGCGTCCTCTGCCTACAAGTCTTCTCCGTCCTTCAGACGGCCCCCAGAGGCCTCCCCACCCCTAGGTTTACAGCATCCCCACTCTCCTGTCACCCTCTTCTTTGGTCTTCTCTACTTCCAGGCTGACTTTTCTCTCATCTGCCTCTGAGTTCCCTGAGTGTCCAGGGACATTATATCCCCGGGGTCTAGAGCAGTTGACTGTGTAGAGTAGGTGATAGGTAAGTTGTTTTTCTGAATGAATGGGTGACCATGGTTTGCTGAAGCTCTAGGAAGGGGAAGAGTGTGGGTGACCGCAGAGCCGCCTCCTTCTTAGGTGGTCCCTATCTCTTCATTCTGCCCACCTGGCATGTCTTCATGTCTCTCCCTTCCTCCCTCCCTCCCCTTTCTTTCACACCCATTCTCGTGCGCACACACATGCACACAGGGGTGCAAACCACCTCACCCTCTACCCTCCCCACCCCTACTTCTGCCGTCGACTCCCCCATTCTGGGCCTTTCCAGTACACTCCCCTGCCTCAACACCCCCAGTGTTTGATGTCAGGCCAGTAAATCGTGACTTTTTGCTCACAACAGAGGGGGCGCCCCAGCCTGAACCCCTTGTGCGGGCCCACAGTGGCCACAGGCAGGGTCTCTCTGGAGTCAGGCCTGGAAGAAGCACTTCCTGTGGCCAGGCCCGGTGGGTGGTTGGCCAGCCCCTGCCAGGCACAGCTGTGGCCAGGCTTGTGATCTGCGTTGCCCCTGTTGGCAAGGGCACTGGGGAGCCTAAAGCTGTGACTGTCTCCAGAGACGTCGGCCCAGCTTTCCCATCAGGGTCACCGCCTGCTCTCAGCACTGCTTCTCCCAGCTGTGTAACCTCCGCAGGTATTTGAGCCTCTCTGGGCTTCTACCTCCTTATCTGCACAATGGGGGCCTATGTCCCTGCCTCCCTACTCCCGAGTCTGAGATCAGCCTGCAGGGGCTCATCGACCGGCGCCTGTGTCATGAGGACTCCCCCTGCCGGCTCGGTGGCGGCATGTGTGCCCACCCGCAGGGGCAGGAGCAGGATGGGCCCCTGAGGGCCTTGCGGGCTCCTTGTCCAGCAAGGATGTGCTGGACGGTCAGCCTGGCCCAGCTGGGAAAATGCCAAGGGCTTTGGATAAGGGTACTCTCTGGTGGGCTTGCTTACATGCCTGGGGATGGTTCTTCCTCTCCGGGTTTTAAAGCTTCCTGAGGAACTTTTGTCTTTGGTTATGGCCACCCAACAGAAAGCAGACAGCATTCAGAGCTGGCGGCTGGCTTGGCTTCTGGAATGCGGTGGACAAAAAACCAAACAGGATCTTCAGCCTTTTCTTTTTACCGAATTCTAACATATGTACCGGAGATCACAGATTTAACTAGCACGTACAACTTGATAAGTTTTTTCAAACTGAACATACCCGGGTAGCCAGCCCCTGTGTCATGAGCAGAATATGACCCACACCCAAAGTGCCCCAACCTCCTGGGAGGACCCCCTCACCTCACAGCCTGGATGGAGTTCTCGTGTTCTTGAACTTCATCTATGTGGACTCTGCAGTCCACAGAGCCCCCTGGTGACAGGGGTCTGTTAGGTCTGTGTGTCCGGCCGCGCCTTCTTTGTGGGTCTCACCTTGTCACTGGGTATGACCGTCGGCCTCTGTTTCCATTGCTCACATCGCTGGCCAAGTCCCTGTGGGTGAATGCACCATGGTTTGTGTATCCTTCCCACTGATGGTGGGGACGTGCTGTTCCCCATTTGGGGAAGTGCTCCCCACCCCAGCCATTACGAAAAGTGCTGCTGTTGACAGGTAGCAGGTGTCTTTGGGTGAGCATGCATATCCATTTATATTAGGTGTGAAACTGCCATCTTTTTGGTCAAAAACAGTAAAATATTAGCGATTCCGTAGGGGTCAGCCTCACAGCTGGGAGCGGAATTGCTGGGTGGTGGGGAATGGCCATGCTCCAGTTTAGTACTTACACCAGTAGGCCGTGCTGTTCCTTCCCACCAGCACCCAAGAGCTTTAGGTGCACAACGTTTTCACCAATGCATCCGCACTAAAGCCCATCCAATGAGTGTGTGGACGTATTGCATCTTGTCAACCTGTTCTTAATTCCCTGGAGAAAGAAGAGGACTTTATTTGCCTGTTGAATATACTTGAAAGAACTGGGCAGTCCACCCTGAGAGTCTGATATCCCCCCCAGGAAGGGCAGGTGCTGCTCCCACCATGACACAAGGGTGGAGGCGGGGGCAATGGCAACGGATCCCCGGCCCTCTTGCCAGCGTGGGAGGAGGCAGCAGGCCATCGTAGAAACACAGGGAGACCGAAAAGAGGTGTGGTCAAATTGTGTGGGTGCCAGAGCCATGACAGCTTCTTCCTCACCATCCTCGCCATCCAGGCGTTACTAAGTGCTCTTCGGAGCCCAGCTGCCAGGAAGTGGAACTGGGCCAATCCCAGCCCTGCCCGTGGGGAGCTGGTGGTTTTATGGAGAGACAGAGGCTTGCAGATGATAGAGGGCCAGGGCCTACCCAGGGAGGACTTGAGCTGGCTTTGGGATATTTGAGGGGCAGCCCTAAACTCTGAACATACCGACACTTGAAAAGCTTTTAAGGTCAAGGGGTTAGACGGAGAAGTGCTCCCCACCGCAGCCCAGGAAGCATGATTGGAGCTCCTGGTGGAGGTGGGACCTGAGGCTCTGATGACCAGGTATCAGCCTGAGGCCATTGTTCCTCTGATTGCTCCCCTACGGTGGAAGCAGGGAGGGGGCCTGTCTCCAAACCAGCTTTTCTTTTTCTTTCTTCCCTCCCTCCCTCCCTCCCTCCCTTCCTTTTTTCTTTCTTTCTTTCTTTTTCTTTCTCTTTCTTTTGCTTTCTTTCTCTCTCTCTCTTTTTCTTTCTTTCTTTCTTTCTTTCTTTCTTTCTTTCTTTCTTTCTTTTTCTTCTTTCTTTCTCTCTCTTTCTTTCTTCCTTTGTCTCTCTTTTTCTTTCTTTTCTTTCTTTCTTTCTTCCTTCCTTTCTTTTTTTCTTTCTTTCTTTTTCTTTCTTTCATCTTGCTTATTTATTTGACAGAGAGAGAGAGCAGGGGAAACAACAGGCAGAGGGAGAAGGAGAAGCAGACTCCCCACTGAGCAGGGAACCCGATGCAGGGCTCCACCCCAGGACCCTGGGATCATGACCTGAGCCGAAGGCAGACACTTAACCGACTGAGCCACCCAGGCGCCCCTCCAAACCAGCTTTTCTGAGAGTCTCCCTGTGCCTGTAGGGAAATGGGTGCTTGTCCTCACATGTTTTGGCCCCCACCATGCCTTCCAGTTCCTTTCCTGGGATGCTGATCACAGGCATTGTCAGCCTGAGATTGGCCACCAGCACACGTTTGCTATCAGCAGCCCTCTAGGGGGATTTTTGAAGAGAACCAGTGGATGCCTATCTCTCGTTCCCACATTCTGTCCCTTCTCTCATCGAGGCATCTGTATCCTCTGGCTGTCCTCTAGCCCTCTGTAGCCACCCCATCTTCCCCAGGCCCCCCAAAAGAGACCCCCCCGCCTCAGGCTTATGTGCACCCGAGGCCCTGCCCTTCAGATTGCCCTCCATCTCCCCCAGCCCAAGCCCAGCGCATAAGCTGTAAGGCAGGGCAGTTGGAAGTGGTTACCTGACTCAGGTGTGAGGGCCCAGTGGGCTTCCCCGCCACAGGAGTTTGCCCTTTGGGAGGGGAGCTGGTCTCCCTGGCAGCAAGAGAGGACAGATGTTGAGAGCAGGGCAGCCTTTGAACTGCCTGCTACCTTCAGCCCCCGCTCTGTTTCTCACCTGGTCCCTGGCTGGCCTTTGGCTGCGTGCCTTTCTGTTTCTTCATGTGAAGTCCCATTTGTTCATAAGACAAGAAGGACACTTGTACTCTGTGCCATCCCTCAGACTTTCCCTTGCAGTTGCTTTCAGGAACAGAAATGATACCATCCTGGTAGGGTAACCTGATGGTGATCATGCTTCTCCTGCCTCCCTCCCCCTCCCCCCTTCCCCCTCCCCCCCTTACCTTGACTCCCCACCCCCTGCCTCCTAGCAATCGAATCTAAAAATACCCTCTTTCCACTGAAGGTTTTTCTTTCCACTGAAGAACGTGAGAGGGTAGGGGTGGGGGCAGGAGCTGGAGGTGTTGTGTTCTTGGAAGGTGTCAGAGACGTGGTGGCCCAGCCTTTGGCCACATTCCGTGTGGACTGGCAGCTCTCTGGAGACCCTGTCACTGGGACTAGGCAGTCTGGTCCAGGAGCAGAAGCAGAACATGGCAGAAGCCAGAGAACGGAACCCACAATCTAAGTCAGCAGTCATTCATTGATCTGAAATTGGATGACTTAAAACTTTGTCAAAACTTGAGGGATATAGAAACAAGTACAATACAGTTTGTGGTAGTATAAGGCCCCAGTCTGGCATTTGATGTACAATCCCGAGGAGCAAAGGAAATGAAAGCATGAAATTCTTTTTTTTCTCTCCCTATTTGACCTTCCTCTGGGTCTTTCAGCCCCCAACACTGTAGACATATGCCAGAAAAGCACTTTGCTTTCATATAGGGCACCACCCCTGTGGCTCCCTGGCTTTAGGTTGGGGACCCGGAGTGAACCAGACTTCCTGAGCTTTGCCACCTCTCCCCTAGAGCAGATTCTGAAATATCAGCTGGGTCAGCTGTCCAGTGGGGCTCCTGCTTTCTTTGTCACAGTCACCTCAGTCCGTGGACAGCCTAACTGGCCGCCTTCCTGTGTTCTCCCAAGTAGAACAATAAGGATGCTTCGTAACCGTGAGATCTGAAGTCAGTCTAATTTGACAAACGGTGATTGACTGCCTTCTCTGTGTAAGGACGAGACTCGATGTGTGCCTTCACAGGTATGACCTGTTGGGGAACAAGACGGGAGCACAGGTATTTGAGCATGGTGCCAGGAAGATGCGAGAAGCCCAGCGTCTCTGGATGTATCCCGATTCTGTGTTCCCACTTATGACTGTCCTTTAAAGGTGCCCCCTGCCTTGCTCCCTCTTGGCACCAGAATCTTGTTCGGTGGAGAATGCTGCCATGAACATATGCTCTGTTAGCAGCCAGCTGACCCCACACCACACAGGGGTCCCATACAGGGGTTGAAATAGTAGCAGGCGGGAAGGGAGTAGATGAGCCAAGACTGCTTGGCTGCAGGTCTCAAATGCCAATCCCAGCTTTTGCCTAGGCAAAGAGGACAGTTTGTCATGAGCAGGCAGGGCTTCCCAGAACCCTGGGGTGTGACTGGACCTGGGGAGGAAGGGACAAGAAGAGATCAGGAAAACCCTCCAAATCCTCTCTTGGCTGCACCTTCCAACACATAGGCTGTCTCTGCTCCCTGGTCCCCAGTGGGCATGTCGCTGCCTCCCAGGGCCTGCATCTATAGAGGACAGTGTCACCTACCCAAGGAGAGCAATCCAGCTCTCCCCAAGCTCAGGGCCAAGCTCCTGGGAGGAGGGGAAGCTGACTGGCCCAACTTAGGCTGTGTATTCCCCTCCTGGTGCCACAGAAGACACAGACCCAGAGAAGGGGGCCTGTTGGCTCGCTGTCGGGGCAGGCGCCCCGAGAAGTCTCCACTGCCTGGAGAGCATAGTGATGGTTCTTTAATTTCCATTCTTCCTATCTCCGATCTGGCTGAGATGGAGAGCAAGGTAAATGAAAAGTGGTCCCCTGGAGCGGTTTGTCCTCCCATAGAAATAGAGGTAGGAAACGGCACCAGGAAGAACTGTCATGCTTTTTTCTCCCCAGCCTCCCACAGCAGGCTGTAAACCTGGTCTTAGACCTTAAATGAACATGCTAGCTGCGTTTTGAAGCTAGCCTCCCGCGGGGACTCAGCTGGATTTTGAGTCCGGTGGTGGCAGCCAAAGCAGCTGGTGGAGAACGGGGCTCTGGGGCTCTCCCTAGGGGGGCAGGCCTCGGTGCTACGGCTCTCCAGCTGGCACTCCAGACAGGCCTCTGCAGGCACCTTGGACCCTACTTCAGCCTCCAGAAGGAAGTGTTGGCCAAGAGGGGCCGTCCTCCCGCGGGTACTAAATCCCCAAGTGTGCAGATCAAATAAGTGGATCAAGGAAGGCCGGCTGACAGTAACGTTTGTGGTGAGACGCATCAGTCAGAATGAGCGAGGCTTTTTGGAAACTGACCTTTTAACTTCAAACGGGTCTGTTGGTTAGAGATAGAGTTTCTGTGGCTGCGTCAGGATTGGTTGGAATGCATCGCTAGAGCCAGGGAGGCACTTAAAGGCTTGTGACAACAGCAGAATTGGCAACAGAACCGTGGGCGCGAGACACTGTGCCTCCTCCTCTGGGTATGTATGTGGTGACAGGACAGGGTGGTTCTGAAGAGCTGAGCTTTATTTGGCGGGGGAGCCCTTTGGAGATTGTGCTTGCTTGCCCTTTCTTTCTTTCTTTCTTTCTCTCTCTCTCTCTCTCTTTCTTTCTTTCTTTCTTTCTTTCTTTCTTTCTTTCTTTCGTAACTTCCAAAGAACAAAATATTTTCTTTTTTTGTTTAATATTTTATTTATTTATTTCCCGAGTTAGAGTGAGAGCACAAGCAGGGGGAGCGGCAGGCCAAGGGAGAAGCAGGCTCCCCACTGAGCAGGGAGCCCGATGCGGGACTCGATCCCAGGACGCTGGGATCATGACCTGAGCCGAAGGCAGATGCTTAACTGACTGAGCCACCCAGGTGTCCCAAGAACAAAATATCTAAAAAAATTTTTTCGAGTTTCATGTATCAATGCAAAGTGAATCTATTGGAAGTACGTGTTCTTTTCAGACTCTCTGCGTGGTGTTTTCATCGAAGGGACTCTAGTGGCTGTGCTTTGCGGTGGCGTTTGCCATGTGGGCAGGTGTGCATTGAGACTGTGGGCGGCTCAGGCTCTGCCGCCCCTGGGCTACCGTCATGTCGCCTCTCCAGCTGGGCTAGGCGGTCTCCACTTCCGTGTGCTCCGATCCACTGAGGAAACCCCACGTTAGCCTTTATTTCCCGTCACACATCAATTTCGCCTTTCCTTTCTGTTCAGTTTGCCTACGGCTCCTGCCTCCGCCCCTGAGAGCTCTACAGAGCCGAGCGGCACTGCGGTCCCCACGGTGTCCTGCGGGCATGGCAGCAGGGCCTGCGTCTTCACGCCCTTCGGCTGAGCGCCACCAGGAATTGATTTCCTGGCGATTAGGGAAATGCCTGCATTTTAGGATGCGCCACAGTGCTTAGGTGTTATTTCTCTGCATCTTCTCCAAGGAAATACTACATGCTGAATTAAGTTTTGTGTTTTTGTTCCTGCTCAACAGCACCGTTAAAAACCCACATTTCGCCTGTCACATCGTGGCAGCCCTGGGGTTGGTGAGGGGGACAGGAACAGAGTGGGTTTGGCCAGACAGCATAGGCCTCTGCGAGAGCACTTGGGCTGCCATTGGTGAGAAATGCTTCCTAACAGGCCCTCTCTTTCCTCCCAGGCGTGGGCTGATGCCTTTCGAAGCAGCCCTGACCTCACCGGCGTGGTGCATATATATGAGGAACTGAAGAGGAAAGGGGTCGAGTTTCCCATGGCAGACTTGGACGCTCTGTCTCCCATCCACACACCACAGCGGGTAAGCTTCCAGCTGGCATTTTCTAGAAAGACCTATTGCAGAACGGGCCAGCCACTGCCACCACCCTTCTGCTGCTGCCTTTGAATTATTCAGCTTGTCATCACGCTTTCTTAAAGCTTGAGGGCATCTCTTTTTAATAACAAGGGGGACGCGGGAGTGAGGCAGCTGGGTGACTGGTGACTAAGTGGCAGCAGTGATCTTCCCCCGCCACACACGTTCATCTGACTGTGGAAGGATATAATAGAGGGATCAGTTCCGACATTTTCGTGGAAATAGCTGCTTGGGCGGAGCCATCCTTCCCGTGAGGGCCACTAGCACCTACTTTTCGGAGGCCCCGGGAATCTGGTGTGGGGATACCGGCATCTCCCTGGGAGAACACTGAGGCACCTCAGTGTTGGCAATGTGGGGGAGCTGATGATGTCACTGATCGTGGGCAAAGGGCGGCTTTTGGTTTTTTCGGACTGTACAGTTGAAACAGACTGAAATTTTATTTTGGCCCACGACTGTTCAGCATCCATCTAGACATCCTTGAATTCCACCAGCCTTGGGATTCAAAGCCCAGGGTTGGCCCGTTTAGGGGCCTGCCATGGAAGCTCTTACAGTGTGGGGCAGCTCTGTGCTTCTGAATGGACGCCGTTCATCCCAGGAAGCTGGTACCTCTACTGGCTGGGGATCAGCCCCTGGCCCCGGGGGAGAGCCAGGAAGCTCCAGGATCTGGGAGAGGCACCTTGTCCCAGCACACTCTGCCTTGCTGGCCTCCCATCTGCCCATCTCTGAAATGGGGGCAGGAAGTCTTTTGCGTGGATCACAGTTAACGTTCGAGAGGCTGTCTGAGATGTTCAAAGGGAAAGCATAAGAAATTATACTTTGCGAAGCATTATTCTCATTATGATCCCTCCAAACCACTTACTATGCTTTGTGGAATAAACGTAACCTGTTTTATTCTTCTAATAATGACACAGAACCATGTTGTTGTGCCTATAATTACAAAGAACATGCAGTAAATTACATAATTACTATTTATATTAGTCTCCTCGTAAAGGCCAAAATATCATCTTCTGGTACCAAACGGGGATCCATGATTAGCAAAACTTCGTAGCAGGCCCCCTCCACTCAGTTTCTGAGGTGGTCCTAATAATGGGAACCCTGACCAAAACTCTCACAGAGCGCCCTCAGTGCTGCCTTTCTGAGTGGCTTTGGTTGTCGGCGAGGAGCTGTTGGTAGCCCCCTTCGTGGATGGAGAACCTGGGTGCGGAGGGGGCAGAGGGATTCCTCCAGCCTCAGAGTCAGCTGTAAAGCCGGGCTCCCCGCCTGCCTGCCGGCTGCTGTGACAGGAAGGGCTTCCCCGGGGTGGGGTAGGTGCCAGGGCTGCCACACAGGCAGCCCGGGTGAACCGAGGACTTTGTTGTTGCTGTGCCAGAGCGTCCCCGAAGTGGATCCAGCCGCAGCCATGCCCAGGTCCCAGTCGCAGCAGAGGACGAGTACCAGCTCCTACACCTCGCCTCCTCCTGCCCCCTACTCCGCTCCGCAGGCCCCGGCTCTCAGTGTGACGGGCCCCATCACGGCCAATTCGGAACAGGTACTCACTCGCAGACTTCCGGGCCATAGGCAAGGTGGCTGCCTGGCCTCGTTCACCCTTTTGGGACACATACGGATGCCTTCCCTGACCAGGCTCTGTGCTAGGTGGCAGCAGCCCACAGACGGAAGGGCCCAGGTCCTCTCCCGAGGGCTCACCGTGTGGTGGGGAGACGGGGGCAAAGACAGTCCGGCAGATAGGGTGGTGGCGTGGTTGCGGGAGCGGGAGCCAGGAGTTGAGCCCAGAGTTGAGCGCTGCTTGGAGGGTCACCCCGGGAGCTGATGCTGCTGAGGCTCTTGAAACTGGTGGGGGGGCTTCATCGGACAAGGTGTGGGGCTGGAGGCACGGAGGAGCGGGGCATTCACGGGAACAGCAGCTGGAAGCTTTGGAGGATCGGTGCAGGATCCGAGAGGCAGAGGGGGAGGCCAAAGCACAGCGACCGAGTTGCGTTGTGAACAGCCTTGTGAGTCACACAGAGAGGTTTGGATTGATCTTGTAAGAAGCATCAGCCATCAGAGGCTGGGGACGCGATCAGCGAGGTCCCATGGAGGCGGAGGCCAACATGAGGGAGGCCCTTAGGAAGCACCCTTCCTGCCTTTATTCCAAACACTGCCCACCTTCCCTGAGTTATTTCCTGAGAGGCCAATGCCGTTTTAATCCCAAACTGGAGTTTTTTTAGACAAGTTGCAGAAAATAGTGCTTAGATGAATCTCTAAAATGTCCATTAGTTAAAATTTGAGAATTGATCAGACTTGGGGGGGGGGACCAAAACCCTCTTCCAGTGTTTATATTTTTTAAGTCCTTATTTAGTATTTGTGACGGCGTCATTATTATGGAAACTCATTTAAACAGAGGGGCCAAGCGATGAGGTGTGGTTAACCAAAACATCGTGCCAGGGCCGCTCACGTTTCTGTTCTCTGCTGGCCCTGAGGCAGCGGGCCGGAGGAGGAGAGCCGGAGGTCAGACGGTTCTGGCCTGGAGTCCCCACTCTGCCACTCACTGTGTGGCTTCAGTCAGGTCATTTAACCCAGCCGGGGCAGTAGAACAGGGCGGTAGTCCATCCCTCCGACCCCATGGCGCCGTCGTAGATTTGACAGGCAGGTGGAGAGGCCTCGTGGTTGGTCCTCACTCAAGCCCCCGGGGCAGAAAGTCTCCGGCGGCTGTGGGCTCTGCTTCCAGGGGCAGAACCGGGCCCCTTTCGGCTCCAAGGGGAGTCTGACATGTTTGGAGTTGGATGGTCCCACTGAGACCTTCCACTGACTCCTCGTCAGTTCTGTGGGAGCTTGGGAAGAGCCTTCCCATTGCAGCCAGAACAATCTGGAGGAGGGTCTAGAGTGGGCGAGAAGGCATGGGTCCTGCCCCTGGGGGAAAATGGAAGCAGAGCCGGCAGGAACCCAGCCTGGCCTAGAGGGACCCCAAGGGCTTCTGAGCCCATGTGGTGTCTGTTGCACTCCTGAGCTTCCAGGGCCAGAAACCTGTTTTGGCTAAGACTCCGGAGGAGTTCACCCACCCGGCAGAACCAGAGGGGAGAAGAGGCTCTTGGGACCTAGGCCAGTACCCTCATTGACCATTGTCCATCTGTCCATCCAGTACACATTTATTGAGGCCCCCGTCCCTTTTCCTGTGCTGAGAGTACCGACCTCCACTGAGCACAGTCCCTGCCCCCAGGAGATCAGCAATGGAGTTGGGGGGGGCAGAGTTGGGCCTGCTGTAGGAGGGGGGCTGGCTGGTTCTGCCTCAGGGAGAGGGGCAGGGGAGAGTCACTAAAGGCTTCAAGGAGGACAGAAGTTGTCATTTGAGCTAGGTCCAAGTGCAGTTGAGAGCCATAGCAAAATCCAGCGTTAACAGGTATTGTAGTAGGAAAGGGATCGGATCGGTACTGGGCGCATGGGTACCAGACCTGCACAGGGTCTTCACTTCAGTCGTTCCTAGCAGCCCCGAGGCGTGGGCAGCGTTTTCCCCTCTCCATAGGTGAGGAGACTGAGGCTCAGTCAGGTTCAGGTCTGTCCCTTATGGTGTCCCTACTGCAGGAAAGATGGCCCAGGCTTTGGGGAGCTCTGTTGGATGGGCAGGTAGGGAGCTGGGGTGGGAGGGGGTCTCCCCCCGAGTCTTCTCTTGGTCCCTCTCCCTCATTCTTGCCACACCAGAAAAGTACAGCTAACACTGGCCAGCCCCTTGGAGGACCGAAGTGCTTCGACTGCAAACCCCTGGGGCCAGCATCTCTAACGATGAGGGCCCTTGGGGATCCATCACACGCTCCACTGCTTTCACTTGAAAGAGTAGGGACGGAGGCCTGCGAGATGAACTTCTCACTCAGGCTTCTGCGGTGGGAGGGCTGAGCTGCACACCAGCTCCGTCCGCGCCAGACGGCAGTGCTCTTTCCGCCAGAGTCACCCATGACAAACTCTCGGTAATCAGGGCCCTTGTGGGGTGGCCTCGCTGCCCCATTCAGGCCTCTCCCTCACCCTCACATACAGACCAGAGTGAGATAAGAAGCCTTTGAATGCCAAGCACATTCAGAGGTGTGACCTAGATGTCATGGTGAAGGGGACTGTCACCAGAGCGGTGCAGCTTGACTGACCTCTGCCTCCTGCTTTCCTCCCTACTCCCACCCCTCTGGCCCAACAGATTGCCAGGCTTCGGAGTGAACTGGACGTTGTTCGAGGCAACACAAAAGTCATGTCGGAGATGCTAACAGAAATGGTCCCCGGGCAGGAGGATTCGTCCGATCTGGAATTGCTGCAGGTGAGGGCAGGGAGGGCCTCATCTTGTGGAAGCTCTGGACCTGGGCACCCAGCAGTGAGGCAGGAGCGGGGCCCAGGGGGACTGTTGTGGGAAGGGACTGAGTCCCTGCAGGGTTTCCCTCAGCCTCATGCTTCCTGGGACCGGTCAGAAGCCAGTACCAGGCTCTCTCTTTTATTTTCCTTCGTGGCTTTTTTTTATCACTGATTATAAAATGCCGATTACAGAACACATGCCCATCAAAAGTAAAAAGGAAGTATAAAGAAGAAAATACTCATTTTCTTTGATTCCAGCACCCACAAATAACCACTGTCGATGTTCTGATGCTTTTTCTTTCTGATTTTTTTTCCGTGTTTGTTTTCATTTCAGATGTAATTGAGATCCTATTGTGTGTACAATGTTGTATGTCGCTTTGCTCCCTCAACATTATGTCATGAACACTTGTGACAGGCCCTCTTCAGCCTTCCCCGCACGCAGGAGCCCTTCTAGCCACACTTTGCCCCCTGAGCCAGTCCTGAGATTGAGATGAGGTAGAAGCTTCCTTTCTTTTCCTGAACACTGAGGATTCCAGGCTGGGGTTGGCCACCTGATGGTTTGTGAGCATCTGTTGCTAACTGGCCTCCCCGCCCTCCTGGCTGCCCTCAGATCGGGGGGCACGGCAGAAAGGGGTCCGGGAGCAGGGCTGGCGCCCAGGGCCGCCCTCAGACTAGCATCAGGGATCCTGGCCAGCCAGAGCCAGCAGCTGGCTCTCTGCCACACCCATCTCAGACGACTCTGGCATTTGTACCAAGTGGCATCTGTGCTGCCCTCAGAAGCAGTGACCTTCTGGAGTTGGGGAGAAAGGATGCTCTAAGCTGCAAGTGCCAGATCTTCTTGTCTGTCTTGCGCCCCCCCGAGTGTCATCCCTCCCACCCCGCTGTTGGCACACACTCGCAGCCTCTGAAGGCCCGGCTCGGGTGGCCCCGCCAGTCCGCAGTGCCCCGAGCCCAAGTGACCCTGCCTGCTCCTGGGCCTCTTCTTGTCGTGCCCTCTTCTTCCCATGAAGCCGTCAGCTCCCAAGCAGGTGAGGGTGGGTGGACACCTGCTCTGGGCCGACGCAGAGCAAAGCAGAGGTGCGTGGAGTGTGGTCTCTGCTCTGGAGGAGCGCCCGGCCTGGTGCAGGGAGGCCGACCAGAAACAGGTCATCTCCATGAAGCCGTGACATCAGGTTGCTCTTTAAAGCCGAGCCGAGTACCCTCAGCCAGCCCTAACGAGGAGCCCCGAGTGGCCTCTCCCAGACCTCGCTTCTGATACCTGCAGCCTGCTAGGTTTGCTTTCGTTCAGCAGGGGCCAGCTGTTCACGTGCCACATGCTAGGGGACCCAGTGTCCCGTTAATGCACCATTGACCTCCATTCCCAGCCTGTAGGGGGAGTTCTTCCAGGCATTAGCTGCTACAGAGGAATCTGAGATCAGTCCAGAAACCGTCCAGAAACTGCGAGGGCCTCTTGAGGCAGCTTTGTGCTGTGTCAGCATCAGAATTCCTGCTGACAGGGGGTTTGCAGTGGACAGAACTGAGCTCCTGGCAGCAGGGGGTGGGCCGAACAAAGCCAACATGCTTCCAGACAGCCAGAGCAGACCCAGACAGCAAGCATACTCTGTGTGTGTGCGTGTGTGCGCTTGCGTGTGTGTGTGTGCATGCGTATGTGTGTGCGTGCATGCGTGTGTGTGTGTGTGTGTGTGTGTGTTTAAACAAGCCCATCAGCCAAGACAAACAGAACCTAATCTCCTGGCGTCAGCTCACAGTTTTCAAAAATAGGTTGCTTCCCATGACGTTTTCCTTCCCTCTGTTTTGTTCCAACTCCAAGCCTACCAGCCCTCCTTGCTATCTTATAAATCATACAGAAAGAATGGTTCTGGGTGCCAGTGGGAGGCTGGCCTTTCAGCACGGGAGATTCAGGAGTCAGGCAGCTCTGTGTGAACAGCCACGCTCTCCTGGCTCCTGGCCTCGCTCCTCAGTCATCCCTGACATCTCCCCTCCTCTTCTTCCCTGGGCAGTTGGAGGCCGGCTGGGCAGGGCCTCCCAAGGGCTGGGGCCACCCCAAACAGTGAGACTTCCACATGGGAAAATGACACCAGCTACTTGGAAAGTGATGGGATCAGAATGTGCCCTGAGGACCCTCAGTTGAGCTGGAGGGCAGCCAGATTGCTCAGGGTAGAAGCTTTCCGGAGCTCACAGTGCTGGCCGGGGTCGTGGAAATAAACCCATTTGTCACCAACCCAAATGTTCACGCCAACAGACGCTGCTCCTGACTCGAGTGTAAATTGCTGGGTAGGAGGCGGAGGAAATGCAAAGAGAGGAAATTGGAGGTGTCAGCCCCGGGATGCACCGGTGTGGCGGACCGCAGTCATGGGCGGTAATGTCCCCAATTGCTTCCTGTCTCCCTGAAGGGAGACTGAGGCCACTCCTTATGCTGTGTCGGCGGCTTAGCTGGAGACCCTGAGGAAAACTGAGGCAGGGTGCCCAGAGGGAACGCTGTGCGGGGGTGGAACCCTCCACTCCCTGAGCTGGGACAGACCTTCTGGGCAACTAGTCCAGCTCTACCCATGTGCTCAGATTAGTGCCCACCTCATGTTTCTTAGCATTTTCTTGATGAGACAGGCTGTTTGTGGGAGCCTACGGAAGGAAACACTTGTGTTTCCAAATGCATGTCCTGGTCAGACTTTGGGAAGCACCACAGGAGGGCAGAAGGAACCACTGGGTTCATGTCCCAACCACTGACAGGCTGGCTGATACTGGGTAGAGCCTGGAGTGATCACGCTCATCTTGGAAGGGTAGAAATCGTCCATTTGAGGGGTGCCTGCATGGTCCAGTCAGTTAAGTGTCCATCTCTCTCTCTCTTTTTTTTTTTTAAGATTTTATTTATTTACTTGAGAGACCGAGAGCAAGAGAACACAGAGGGAGGAGAGGAGGGAAGCAGACTCCCTGCTGAGCAGGGAGCCTGACATGGGGCTCGATCCCAGGACGCTGAGATCATGACCTGAGCCAAAAGGCAGCTGCCTAACCAACTGAGCTACACAGGTGTCCCTAGCATCCAGCTCTTGATTTCGACACAGGTTTATGAGATCGAGCCCCGCGTTGGGCCTCCACGCTCAGCTCGGAGTCTGCTTGGAATTCCCTCTCTCCCTCTCCCTCTTCCCCTCCCCCTGCTCTTGCTCTCCCCCCCCAAATAAATAAAATCTTTAAAAAAGTTGTCCATTTGAGGTGGCAGGCACAGTGCCAGGCACAGGCAACTCATCACAAGTCAGAGCTCCTGTGATTATTGTTGGTACATCCTTCTATACGGCAGGCTAAGGTCTGTCTCCTTAATAACTGCTACCCTGGTCTGTCTGCTTTAACCACAGAACAAAACAAAGTCCTCTTTCACAACGCTTAAATATTTGAAGATTGCCATGAGCCCTGCCACGGCCTGGTCTGTGCGGTACAGATGTGCCTGTTGGCAGCCCACCTTGTAGATGAGCTGGCAGTTCTTAGCAGGAGCCTATAAAAATGAGAGCTTCCATCAACCTAAAACCTTCCATCTCTCTCATGGAGCTAGTAAGCTGTATCTTCCCTACCCTGTGTGTAGGCACTTGGGTTCAGGCCTGAAATTTGAGACTGCATCGCTGTCTGCTGAAGTTCATGTCCTTAGCTGCAGCCTGGGAGTCTGGTTTCGGAAATCTTTAAAGATCCTGAGGCTGTCATCCGGTACTCTCCGTCTCTCCCAAATTAGCCTCTTGAGCTTTGTCTTCAAATAATAATAACTTTTAATTAATCCAGTGATGCCCAAATTGGGCATTCCTGCATGGCCATCCATCAGGTAGTAAAAGAAGCTCTCTTTCACATTGTTTCTTCAAGTAGCAGATGGTATATCCCCTCTTGCTGCTTGCATCTCGTTTCAACAAAAACCGGGATGTCCAGGACCATTTTCTCTAGAGATCTAGTTTATTCTCCACGTTTAGCTTCATTATTCCCCCTTCTCTTCAACAAAGAGTTTCTTCTTCTTCTCCCCGTGCCCCCCCCCCCCTTTGCTTGCTATAGAAAGTGGATCTTCAGGACCTTACTCTGTGTTCCTTAGAACTTGGAGAAGGTTCAGAGGAAACCCATAAAGATGATTAAAAGACTGTTTTGAGAGGTGGGGATGAGAATGTCCCTTGAAGAAAAGATAAAGGCATTGGGATTAATTAGACAGAAAGAGGCTATTTTAATATGTTCTGATAGATGGAGAGCTTTTGCACAAAGAACACTGACCAGCTGTTCTCCCCCTCTGTTGAGAATTGGACATAGGAGGAGGCCGAAGCCAAAATCTTCCACATGTAGGACATGCCTGTCCTGGCTGTTGCATGGTGGGAAGGGTGACCGGGGAAAGCTGCATGCTCTTGTGACTTAGGATCAGAAGAAAGTCACCCCGTGGGGCTGCTTTAGAGGGGGACGTAGGCAGTGGAAGGTCTCCCAACTGCACCTGCCATGGGTCTGGCTGCTGGTGACCCCACGGAGGTCTTGCAGGCAGCCCGCTGGTGTTTGGTGGCAGAAATCTCAACACGCTGCTTCTCCTCTCCCCTTCGATCCCTTTGTCTTTTTTCTGTTTAAATTTTTTTTTTTCAGATGATGACATAGGGGCAGGTGGCTCATTCAATGGAGTGTGTGACTCTTGATCTTGGGGTTGTAAGTTTAAGCCCCATGTTGGGTGTAGAGATTATTTAAAATAAAATCTTACAAAAAGGAGAAGATGAAGAAAATGGTAACTTAAAAGCTTGAAGGAAGGAGATAGCAAAACTTTCTGCAGAGACCCCAGGACATCCTTGATTTGGAAGTTCCAGGCTGGATTCTTTGGGCCAGTTTAGGCAAAGCTCTTTGAAAGGCCCCTGGGTGCCCCTCTGGGATCAGAGCATTCGAGGCTCCGTCCATGGGGTCGGGGGCTGTCTCTCCCAGCGCCCCAGCTAGAGGCTGTGGGGAGCGAGGCGGCGAGTACAAAGGGCAAAGCGGATGTTCTGGGCCTTACAGTCCGGGAGACCACCCCACTGTGGGCCCTTGGGTCTCATTCTTCCTGCAAGCCGAAGTTACAGTGTTAGAGCTAGCAGAGGTCTCAGGAGTCATCTAGCACTTTCCAAACATTTCTGTAAAATAGGGGGACCCTTTTCTCCACAAATAAAATTCCACAGAGACCTGTAATGTTTCAAAGAGATAAAAACAGAGCCATGGGGTGGGATGTCCCAAACCCCATGCCATGGAGGCCCCTCAGTGGCCCTCTGCAGAGCTTTACCACTTCTCTGACCCCTCTTTCCTACCCGGGGAGAAACAGGCCCAGAGGGTGCTAGAGGCCTGGAGAGCGGACCTGGACATGGCTGCTTGCTACCTGCCACTTGGTTCCCAGCACCCAGGAGGCCCTGGGCTCCACTGGGGGAGACTGAATCCAGCCCTGCCCTTTTCTGTCTAGTGGTTCGGGTGCTTTGGACGTTTGGAGCCATGTTTCTGAGACACTCCCTGCAGTCTTCTGAACGATCTGGTTTGGTTCTGCTTTGACTCTGGTGGACCATCCTTGAGGCCTGCTCTTTCTTCCCAGGCTTCCACTGATTGGGGTGGGGGTAAGGGCTCTTGCTCATTTATTGGAGATACACACAAGCCAGAGGCACTGCTGGAGGACCTGTCACCACATGGGGCAGCAGCGCCGAGCAGAGGTATGTCCAGTCTTGAGGGAGGTAGGGGTTGGGGGAATCCCCAGGAAACATTCTGGGTGGATAGGGAGATGGGTAACTGGGTAGACAAATGGTAAGCTGGAATTGTAAAATGTTAATGGCAGGTAGAATCTAGGGGTTGGGTATATGGGGTCTACTCTAACACTTTAAAATCTTTTCTCTACATTTGAAAATTTTGTGACTAAGCGTTGGGGTGGGGAAACATTCTGGGGCCTTGAAGGATGAGTAGGAATTTGTTTGATAGAAAAGGAGGGAGGAACATGGCAGGCAGAGGGCTGCCTTCTCAGGGGCCCCTGAGCAGTAAGGGCTAGTGCCTGAGGGCCGTCTGCTATTCTAGAAAGTCTGAAGTGTGTTTGGAGAAGGCCCGTGGCTCTGGGAGGTGATGCCGCCAGCTTCTGCCAGGGTGGCCTAGGACCTCTTTCCGTTTGGAATTGGCCTGCAGTTAGGATAGGAAGTCACTGACCTCTTCCCTGTCCTGGGCTTGCCTGGGGGTGGGAGTGGGGTCTGCCTTTGCTGGAGGGAGTGGGCCTGTAGCTGGGGCTCAAGATCCTTTTGCTCATCAGAGATTTTTTGCGGACACCTTGAGTGCTGGTCTCCTCTATACGAGGCACATACACGTCCAGGAAGGGATCCAGGCACTGTGCCTCTTCCCGCCACCCTGCTGCCTGTGTCCCCAGGCTCTGTCTTTCTTTTCCGTCCCCATGAGCTTTGGCTGGTCTCCAGCCTGTCTTCCAAAGTGCTAGGCAAGATCTGCTGCCCAAGAATGGCCAAATGTCTTTTTTCTTTTGGTTAATGGGGGCTGGTCTTTTAAAGTGAATCTGAATCCATGCTCCCTTATGGGCCCTAAGCAGGTGCTCCCTGCGGTCTAACGATGTATCGTAAATATGATTGTTTACGTTGTTGACTTCACTCCTGGCTGTTGGAATCCTTCCCGTGATCTAATGTGATTGCTCTTTTCAGAAGTTCATTTGTGTGGGCTTTTGTTTTGTTTTTCAGTTTTCATCTTAGCCCTCGCTCGTGAGCGCACTTTGTTTCTGTAATTGGGGTTTCCACTGGGCCCTTGGTTTTCCTGTGTACTGTGACTGTCCCAGTGGTGACTGGATTTGACCTGTGGGTGTGTACCAGCACCCATGGCTGGGATTGTGGCAACCCATCACTGAGTTCTCGCCAGGCTCCAAGTCCCAGGCCGCTTCCCGAATGCCCCTCTTGTGGCCGGCCAGGGGATAGGAGCCGTTCACAGTGGTGGAGAGTGGACATTTCGTGGCATTTCACTCTTTCCTGGATATGATTAATTTTCAGTATTTGCCTGTTATTCTAACGCATGCGTGTATGTTTAAAAATGCTTACTGCTGGGTCACTGGGGTCTGGGACAAGTCCTGGCGAGGGAAGATTCGATTCTAGGTGAAGGAGAATTGCCCATTCTCTGAGTGGAGAGAGGGCCAACAAGAAGGCTAAGCTGGTGTAGATCCTGAGCGAGGACAGTGATGGGGAGCAGGTGGTCTGCACGGACCAAGGGATCAGAGCTCCATAGAGTCGAGGTGTCCCCATCCTTCCTCCTTCAGCCTCAGCTTGCTTCTGACCTCCGCCCCTCTGCATCACCTGCTGGTGGGAATGCTACTCCCCGGGTGCAGCTGGTCCCTGAAGCACCAGGTCAGAGGTTGGGAGAGAGCAGTTGTGAATCCCCGGTGATTTGCTGACAGCCCCTTAGTTCCAGGATCACTCTGCCTTCTCCCAAACCTAGAATGGGAGTCTTAGGAGAACCGAGTGGGACTGTCTTCATAGAAAAAACTGGAAGGTCCAGATACTGGGCTTGCTGGCCCTAGACCAAGAGAGACTGACAGCAGCATTCTGGTTTTACAGAGGGCCAGCAACAGGGTAGAATGAAGACAAGGGCAGTGTTTCCATAACCAGCCAGCCAGGGCCCAGCAATCCAGAGGCTCTCCAGTGAAGCTTTTTTTTTTCTTCTGGTGAACACCAGACTATTTTGTTCCCAGCTGCCTAAATCGAGAAACTTTCTGTCTTGACAACTACAGGTATAGTGGGGTGATTGTGGGATGACCCATGTGGGTTGGGCTTCTTTTCTCAGCTGCCCCTGCTGTTGGGGAGGGAGCCCCCCACAGGCTGAGCAGCCAGGGGAGGGGTGACGGCAGAAGCAGTTTCCAGACCTGGTGGCCGGCTGGTCATGATCTACTTATTCTGTGATTGGCAGGTCTGTCGAGGTCCCTACTTCGGTCTGACCCGCAGGATCAGGCCCAGGACACTCAACTGTCGTCCAGTAGTGAAGGGGGTGTGTGTGTGCACACGAGTGTGTAAGGGAACACTATTTAGAGACCTTGGACTAGGTGTGGATGGAAGGAATGCAACTTGCCTTCGTTAATTAATTCTTTCCAAAGCATTTAGGGAGTAGCTCCTGTGTGTTGGTCATGGGTGCTGGAGAAATGGGGCCAAGAGATGCCAGCCCTGCCCTCAAGGAGCTTCGGTGTAGAGAGAGGAGGCAGATGAGGGGCCCAGCAGTAATGCCCCTGTGTGCTGAGCATAGTGTTGCAGGGCGCTGCTGAGCCCTGGGACTCCCTGCTTTGTGTTTGGCCACGTCTGTGTTCGACTCAGCAGATGATTACTGGGCCTTTTCACCATGTGTAGCTCAGTGTAGGGTTCGAGGTCATCCCTGGGGGAAGAAATGATGGCACCCTCCCTCATGGAGTTTATGATCTAGTGGGAGAGGATACCTAGTTCTAGCCAAGCTGGCCAGATGATGAGACAGAATACGGAGCTGAACAGAGATCACGTATGTGGGCAGTGTCCAGAGCAGTTACCTCCATCAGAAACATTTCCAAAGGAGGTGGTTTTGAGGCTGAGCTGTGAGAAGGAAGGAAGGACCTCTGCTCCATCCCTCATCCCCTTCATCCAGTGGGTCATCGGCTGCCTCTGGTGTCCAGGGGGGGTGGGGACAGTTTCTCCCCTCTGCTTCACCCCCATTGGGACTCGGAGCTTTTTTCCATAGAATGTTCCTGTAGTCAGTTTGGCAGGTGGTTGAGGGAGCTTCACAGGCAGGCTTCAACGAGAGCACAGTTCAGGCTGCTATCTAGAGCAGGGAAAGCCTGTGGAAACCAGGCCAGAAAGTGGTAAGGGTCTGTCTTCAGGGGGACAGTCCTTCCAAGGGTAGAGCAGGCTCCAGTGGTGACTGGGGGTTCACTGGAGTCCTCTTTGGCCAGCCTGGAAGACATGTCAGAGCTTGCTGAGCTTCTCAGACCTCAGCGAGATATCACACATGCCACCAAAATGTACCTGATACAGTCATAAAATACACCCTTGCTGTTGCTGGGAGCGTAAATGACCTGGTCTCATCTTTTTGGAGGGTCTTCTGCAATTGCCAGTCCGTATTCTAAGTGACTGTATACCCTTTCACCCAGAAATTCCACTTCTAGAAGCTTGTCCTGTGGAAGTGCTGGCACAAGTGTACGAGCCTGTGTGTGTACGAATGGTCCTTGCCACGTTGTTTGGGTTGGCCAGAAAGAGGCCTTAAGGCAGTGGAAGCACGGGGAGATGCTTCATGATACACACACACAGAGGTGGGGCCGGCCATATGAAAGCGATGGGGAGAGGTTGTCGAGCGTATTTTGTTGAAGAGAAAAAGCCAGCTGCAAAGGATCATATTCTTAGATGTAAAGAATGCTTTGTACAAACGCGTGCCGATGTACGTATAAGAGTACAGAGCTATGGACCCTTGTCCGTCCATTGAAAAAGAGCTTCCTTCCTCGGCAGTGAGAGAGGGGCCCTCCACTTTGCATCCCACCCGCGGCCGGCTTTCTCGGACAAGTGTGCGCTCCTTTGGTGACTTTTAAGAATTGGCTCACATTTTGCCCGAGGAGGTAGAATGGGACACGCATCGTCCCCAGCAGGCTAGCCAGAGGCGTGTGTGTTCCCTAGGAGCTGAACAGGACCTGCCGGGCCATGCAACAGCGCATCGTGGAGCTCATCTCCCGCGTGTCCAACGAGGAGGTCACCGAGGAGCTGCTTCACGTCAATGATGACCTCAACAACGTCTTCCTCCGCTACGAGAGGTGGGGCGGGTGTCCCTTGTCGTCCCTCCCTGAGACTGTTGCCAACGGAGGGATTTTTCTCCCAAACAATGCGGAGAGGGAGAGGGAGTGTAGGGTTGGAAAATGCTCATCAGAGATGCTAATTTGTTCCCGGCTGACAGGGAAAATGCTTCTTGTTCTCCTGGGAACCGAGCAGCAGGAAAGTGAGGGGCAGAATTAGGCTCTGCCCTTTGCAAGCCTCAGGCTGCCCTGCCTTCCCCACTATCCCTCCCCCTGGGGCCCATGAGGGGAGGGCCGGGGGCCCTAGGGCCCGGGAGCTTGCACCTGCTCCTTTGAAGATCTTTGAGTTTGAAAAGGATTAAAGGGGGAAAAAAATCTCTACTAAGGAAAAAAGATTTCCTCTTTGCCATCTTTAAAGAAAGAAGAAAAAGAGATTTTTCCCTCACTTTGCAAATGTCAGGGTGTCTAGAGTATTCCAAAGAAGGCAGGGTGTAAGTGCCGGATGCTGCTGCTGTTTAGGGAAACACACACACACCACACACACCCACACACACACACACCCACACACCCACACACACACGTTCATTTGAGTTCTTTCTGCAGCCAAATCATTTTTGGATTTGAGGTAACCAGCTTGAAAATCCTTTTCCTTTTCCAAAGCCTCCCCTGGGAAGGAGTTGTCAATAGGAGGTAATGGCAGGCACGGCTCCCAGAGCATCACTCGGGCGTGTGTGGCTCAGGCTTCTCCCAGCAAAGGCACCAGAAAGCGCCTTGACCAGGCCAACCTTCTCCCAAGTCTGAGGCCCTCCGCCCTCGGAGATTTGGGGCCCTGGTCCCTGCGCTGACTCACAGCGTGATGATCTGGCATCATTTAGGGTCAGTGTGATGGGGGGCTTAGAGGGAGATTTTGCCATGGGTATCACGACCCCAGGCCTTGTCTCAGCAGGGATGGGTGGTCCCAGGTCTATCCAACAAAGAAACCTCTGCAGTAAGAATGTGGGGCCATCCAGGGGCCCCGTGTGTCCTTTGGAGATTAGAAGCAGATCTGGGGTTCCTCGACTCCCAGCTCCAGACTCCTTGGTTTTGCCTTGTGGTTCCAGTTTCTCTACTTTAAATGGGCTTGGCCTTTTCACCTTAAACCCGTTTCAGCCCCTCCTGGGATAGGAAGACGGGCCAATGGGAGCATTTTCTCCTGAGTCTGCCACACCCGGCCTGACCACAAATTCAGAGACAAAGCCCTGAGGTGCCGTTCTGGCTTGAGTGCTGTTGATAAGACTAATTGTCCCTCCGAGATGGTGTGAGAAAGGTACTCCAGGAGTAGAAACTTTTCATATGTGTTAACATTCTCCTTCTCCTTATGGGCCATGGTTCATAAAAACACACAAGTCTCTCTTGAAACCACAGCGGACACACATCGCCTAACCGATTGTCCCTCCTGGGGATCCCTACTTACCAGGTGCTGAGCTGAGCAGATCTCAGTAAAGGCTGGTTTCTCCAGCCTCAGGCTGCAGAATGTCTCTTAGCTACCTCTTTGCGCACGGCATTTTGGAACTTTTAAACGCAAGGGCAGCCCACACAGGTGCCGCACAATTGCTCTTGTATTCCCCACCTGGTGGGTATGAGACAGCAGAGGCTGTCTGTGGTTGCTCCTAGCCAGGTCCCATCCACAGCTACTGGGGAGCCTTTGGGCCAGGCCAAGGGCCTGTGCCTGTCTTCCTCCTCTGTGTGTGCCCCAGGCCCTCTCCTCCAGCACATTGAGCTGAGGGCGTTTTAGTGACAGGCTAATCATGCCTAGCACAGCTCTATGAAATAGGGAGGGGGCTGCACTTCTTGCCTGGCTTTGGAGATCCGTATCTGAGCCACTCCCAAGGTCAAGTGGTTGGCCCAGTCCCTGTCCCCCAAGGAGCAAAAGGAGCACTCTGGGCCCAGAGCATGAGGGCACAGCTGGGAATGCTTATAATGATCTCCTTATGATGGGATGTGCCAACCAACACCTTCCTCCCCCCCCTTCCGTGTGCTCGTGGGTGAGCCTGGAGGCTGATCCTCCAGAGGAAGGCACAGTAAAGTTGCGGGGTAGAGAGGGACCCACTCCCCCATGTCCCCCAAATGGCCCCGATTGGTTTCCTTTTCCTGGAGTCTCGGTGTCCACTGCCCTCACAGGGCCCTTGGTCCCCAGGAGCTCTTCACAGGACCAGTGAGCATCACTATACCACGTTGTCCCTCCTCACTCTGCTTTCCCTTCCCCTATTAGGTTTGAACGATACAGGTCAGGCCGATCGGTGCAAAATGCCAGTAATGGAGTAAGTATTCCTTCAGAATTCTCCCCTCTCCGGATGCTGGGAGACCTACCTCTGTTAGGTCCCACCTCTGGTTTTTCTAACTGGGGCCTAAACATATGGGTAATGAGGGGCACCTGGCTGGCTCAGTCTGTAGAGCGTGCGACTCTTGATCTCGGGGTCGTGAGTTCAAGTCCCACGTTGGGGGTAGGGTTTCTTCAAAAAAAAAAATGGGGGGTAATGAAGGAGCAAGCTCTGGCTGATGGGATACTGCAGAAGAACTAGCAGACACATTCCCGGTGGGAGCATGGCAAGCAAGCCCCAAGTTACAGTTCCAGGGACAGCGACTGTCCTGGTTGACTGCTTCAGCCCTGCCTCCTTTGGGGGCAAGGGGAGGAGCCAATGGCCTGAGGCCACCGTGGACCACCAAAATCCTGGGGAGGAAAACTGCTTTGTTCCTGGATTGGTGCAGCGTTGATGCTTTTTCTTGGGTACCCTGCACCGGGCCTGCTGGCTCTTACCTAGGAGCCCAAGGCGGGCGCTCTGGGGCTCACTGCTGTCTTCTCTGCTGGCAGGTCCTGAACGAAGTGACCGAGGACAACTTAATAGACCTGGGCCCGGGATCTCCAGCTGTGGTGAGCCCAATGGTGGGGAACACGGCACCTCCATCTTCTCTCTCCTCTCAGCTTGCAGGCTTAGGTAAGTGTCTCACAGGTTTGTGTCAAGGGCCTTCTTTTCAGGCCACTTCCTGGTTGTGAGTCTGGGCTGAGGGCCCCTTTCTCTCTCTTGGTTGGAAGGCCCAAAGAGAGCCTTTAGAGGCATCCATGGAAAAGCATATTCCTGAGACCTGGCCAGTTGTACCACCTTTAGTTGATGACTTCTGTCCCTAAACTTAAAAGTTTAAGCGTGTGTTGGAAAGAAGGGGTTGGGGGGAGTTCCAAGGAACTGGAAGTTGTTTGCTTTTAAAGAAAGGTAGCTGCTGTGTTTTTATCTGGAATAGTCTCTATGGTCCAAGTGATTGTCTTCTCAATATATACTAGGCCAAGGATGGCAAATAGGTTTCAGCTCATTGGCTGCAATAGGTTTCAGCTCATTGGCTGCTTGGGACACAGGTCTAAGAAGGATGCTGCTTGGGAGATGAGTCTGTGGTTGATTGGTAATGTCTGCCATGGGCTTGGAATCAGGAGGTGATGGCACGGGTGGATTTCCTCTCCTTGAACTAACATCAGCCTAAAGTGTTGCACTGTCTGAAGCCTGAAACAAAAGAAACTCACCACTTTCCCACTTTTCCGTTTGCAAGTGTGTATATGATTCTAGATGGTAACACCAATTTGTAACAGATAAAATTATAGTATTGAAATAATAATGCATGGCTCTCACAAAATTCTTTCTACGTTTTCCGTTTTCCTTTTTTTTTTCCTCTTAACATTTATCTTTATACCTTCATTCCATTACAGTTGAAATCGGGCTTTTATTTGGTGGCCTGTCCATTGCTGTGATTCTCTGGCTTCCCAGCATCTCATGAATCTGTGGCCACTGTTTCTCTTTTGGAACAGATTTCTCTGCCTTCAATCCATCCAGCATAAGGCCACCAGATTTAATATCCAAAAGTCAAATTGAATTCTGCTGCCTGCCTTCTTAAATGAAAGTCTAGTGTTGGGGCACCTGGGTGGTGCAGTCGGGTAAGCATCCGGCTTTTGATTTCGGCTCATGTCATGGTCTCAGAGTCCTAAGATTGAGCCCTGTGTCAGACTCTGTGCTGGGCATGGAGGCTGCTTAAGATTCTCTCTCTTCTTCTCCCTCTGCTCCTCCCCCCACCTCTGCACGTGCTCTCTGTCAATAAATAAATCTTAAAAAAAAAAAAAAGTCTAGGGGTGCCCAGGTGGCTCAGTCAGTTAGCGTCTGTCTTCGGCTCAGGTCATGATCCCAGGGTCCTGGGACCAAGCCCTGTGTCGGGCTCCCTGCTCCGCGGAAAGCCTCCTTCTCCCTCTCCCTCTGCCCCTCCCCTCCGCTCGTGTTCTCTTTCTCTCTCAAATACGTTTTAAAAATCTTAAAAAAAAAAAAAGGTCTAGCGTTCTTCTCCTCGGCTCCTTTACCTGGCCTTTGAGGCTTTTCACACCCCAGCCGCCTCCCACATGCTTTTCCAGCCTTTTTGTTCCTCAGCATCTCCACAAGCGTTGTTCACTTCACACACCCTGGACTTCCCAGGCTCTGTGCCTTGGTACCTGCCTCTCCCCTTCTCCCCGCAGCAGAGTCCCCCTGGGCCTTTAATTCCTATTCTTGGGTCAGTTTTGAATCTCTTCCAATTATCTCAACCTCGGTACTGGTGGTATCTGTCTCCCACCTACTTCATGCGCTCCTTAAGGCCAAGGACCGCGTCAGATTCAGTTTGGTCTGCTCATGATCTAGCTTTGAACGTGGTGGGTGCCTGCGAAATGTTTATCAAGGAAATACATGACCCAGGCCCTTAGACGTATGACCGAGTCAGTGAGGAGTTGTGGGAAATCTGCAGAGGCACTGGCCCCAAGCCCCATCTCGCTGCCAGCAGTCTCCCTCTTGTTCATACTGATTCTTCCCCACCTTGAGCAGCTTCGGGGGTGGGGGGTCTGTGTCTGTTCCGTCCCCCAACGAGGCCCCAGTGTGACTCCTCCTGTACGTGGTGGGCCGGGGGTGCCGAGGAGAGCTGCCCAACCCCCCCCCATAGAACCCTAACCTGCCCACGGGCTTCTGAACTTTGGGACCCTTCCTGAAGTCCACGGGCCACATTTTATTCTCATCCTCCCCTCATTTGTTTTGTTGCCACAGACTTGGGGACAGAGAGCGTCAGTGGTACCCTCAGTTCACTCCAGCAGTGTAATCCACGTGATGGCTTTGACATGTTTGCCCAGACAAGAGGGAACTCCTTGGCCGAACAACGCAAGACGTATGTGGGGACCATTTCAGTGGCTTTCGGAAGACATTGGGGGAGGATTGATCCCGGCCTGGTCACAGGCCAACACAAAGACGCCTTTTGTTTACCAAGTCCAGGGCTGCCAAGAACGTTGAAATCTGTCTGTGAGGACTTGGCAGTAGACACAGATTTTGAATGAACACCAACCTCCCCCCCTCCAACCCCCACCGCCCCGCCTTGGGGTTGATTGTGGTTGGATTTCTCCTATGAGTCACAAGAGAGTGCTTCCCATGCTGCTGCTAAAGAAGAGCTGGGAGCTGGGGGGCAGCCAGGCAGGGCATGAAGTAGCTCTTATCAGTATGGTTTTCTTGCGCAAGGGTGTGGGCGGAGGCTTCCCTGACAGCAGCTCCTGCCAGGAGAAGCCATGTGAAATTGGGGACGTTGATCCCAAAATAGACCACCCCTTGCATCTCAGGGAGGCACAGGAACAGGCTTTGAGCTTCTTGTTCAGCCTTAAGGCAGGCGAAGAACTCTGTCCTGCCTGTCCCTGGGGCCCGGCATCTTGAGGCACTTGGCTTTCTGGGTTCCCATGCTCAGGCATCAACAGGTTGACCAGAAACCCGACCCAAGGCCCCGTTCACACTTCATGAGCTGTCACCACCTTCCTTGTCAAAAGGCCACTGCAGCTGCCGCTTTTAAAAGAAGAATTAATGTTGCCTGGAGTTTCAGGGTGCTTTTGATCTCCTGTCAGTGGGCTTTGGAGATGCCCTGGTATTGTTACTTGAGAGGGACGTTGAGGGGCACAGTGTCCCAGACCCCAGAGGAAAGGAGGGGCCGAGCCTGTGCAGGAACCTTGGCCTCCTGGCTTTAGCTGCAGTCAGTGCATGAGCCCTTCGAGGCCGGGGCTGCAGGGAACGTTTCTCCAAGTACGCGTGAGGGAGGTGAGACGGCTAGAAAGTGATTAGAGGTCACCACCCCATTCCCTGGGGCCACTGCTGGGAGCTGACTGACTGTGCTGCTTGTCTCCAGGGTAGCCTACGAGGACCCCCAGGCTGTCGGAGGACTGGCTTCTGCACCAGACAGCCGGAAACAGAGCTCTGAAGTGGTAGGTCTTTCAGCCTGTTTTTCTGCCTGGGGTCCTCTGGAGGGGAAGGCGGGCCGGGTGGCCAGCAGACGCCAGGGTGCGTGGAGGGCAGGGCCCGCTGGGGGAGACCGGCATGAGAGCACTTGATCGCCTCATTGAGTCCTCACGCCACCCCGCGGGTGATGTCCAGTCAGCCTGCCGTGAACCCAAGAGCCGACAGGCCCCGAGAGGTGGCGGCATGTTCTGGGCACCCAGTGAGCAGAGAGCAAGCGGGGATCCCTGCTCTGGGGAGGTCCGGCCCCAGAGCCCCTTCTCTTCCGACCTTGGTGGCCCCGAGCTCTCAGGGCACAGGTCTCCTACAGCCAGATAGGGGCTCTCCTCAGATGGTCCACTGCCTTGGGGTGGGCAGGACTCTGACAAAACACTGATCTGCACAAGGAAGGGAAAAGCTCATCTGAGCCACATCTGGGCTGATCACCTGCAGTCGGCCTTGCCAGGCAGTACCAACCCACTAGCAGGCAGCGGAGGGCCAGGATTTGTCTGGGGGTCTGGGGCTGGAGGGGTGGGAGGAACAGCGGGTGGAGGCCAGGAGGGTGTTCTGGAAGGAGCAGAGCTAAAGGCAGAGGTGCTTTGAAGTGGAGGGTGGTGCTTGTTAGAGCCCCAGATTGCAGCTGTGGATTCTGTGAGGTTTCAGGTCATTGCCGGGGAAAGGATTTGTGTCTTAATGCTTCTCATGGGATCGTCCCCCTTTTCACCTAAGGAATGTATGTGGCAGTGTGTGAATGAGTGTCTGTTTGCAGGGACTGGGGGGGGGGGGGGGGGGGGGGGGGGGGGTTTTGGGGATAATGGCCCTGAACGGTGGGACCTCCTTTTAGGGTCCCCCAGCTGGGGTAGAAAGGAGCAGTGCTCATCTGCCACCTGGACAGGGAGGTTTGCTTCCAGAACACAAGTTCGGGCCTCCTGCTGCCCGTGTCCAAATGGGCCCAGGCCAGCAGCAGTTTCTGTGAGAAGGCTTGCCTTGGGGAAGGCACTTACTCTGTCGTGGCTCAGCCAACTTGGTAGGAGGCCTGTGCGGCCCTCTGCACTGGCCACTAGGGGGCACAGAAGAGCCAGCCCAACTGCCTTGGGTCTCAGCACCCTGCCTTTCCACCCCTCCCCGGGACTGGTACTCCCAAAATCATGGCTCTGTTTCTCCCGTTACTCGGAATGTCTCCTACCCAACTCAGAGAGGGCGTCAGGAAGCCGGGCTGAGGGCCCCCCCAGCACATCCCCTCCTCCTGGCCCACCTGACCTGGCCTGCAGCTCAGTCCCTCAGCCAGGCCCACCTGGTCTGCTTCCCCCTGTGCCTCCCAGACCGGCCGCCATCCACGCCAGGGTGTGTCCTACCACATCTCTGCCCTTAGCAGTGTCCAGGCCTGGGTCGGAGCGCAGGAGAGGTGGCCAGCTTCCCGCCCTTTGCCCTTTGGGGTGTGTGGCTTGGCGCATCTCCCTGTTTTCAGAGATCTTGATGACTCCAGCATGTTTTCCACCTGATGGTAGGCAGATTGCTTTCATGTGTACTGCTCGATGGGGGAAGCAGGGTTTGTGGGGCGTGTGTGTGTGTGTCTGTCTGTCTCTGTCTGCATCTTGGTATATGCGTGCCCACACACACTGACCCACATGCATCCTCAGGCCAGGATTTCAGCTTCTTTTGTTCCATATCCTAAACTGTGCTGACCTGGAAATGAAAACCCGGCCACAGGAGACATGGAGAACACAGGCAAGGGGAGAAAATTGTATAGCCACACCTCCACGGTGCAACCAGATCCGAAGTCTTAACTTTACATGCTGTTATTTAAAAAAGGGCAATCTACCCAAAATCAGCGTTCGAGTTAAGAGTTTGGAAAAAGAACACACAGATAACTGAGAAGGAGGAAAAAAGCAGAAATAAGTTAGAAAAAAAGTGGAAATGACTTTGTAAGAGCTGGTTCTTTGAAAAAAATTGACCTCTGCCAACACCTGAGAGCCCTAATGAGGAGAAGCAGCCATGGGCAACCTTCCGTGACCTCCCGGAGATTTTCCAAGTGTACAGGGATAATTGGCAGGAGTATGTGGTACCCTGTCGGGATTCTCGGTTACTAAACTTCTCTTCTGTTTTTTCAGGCAGGTAAGGGGGAACGTGCTGGAGGGGGTGGGGGGCAACGGGTCACATCTCCTTCCATGACAACAGATCAACTCTAAACAGTGGCTTTTCCGTTCCCATGATATATACTGTTGCTTTCTTTATCTGGGTCTTGCTGTGACTTTTCTTTCTGGGACTTTTCTGTCCTCGGCCCAGAAGAGAGGTAAAGGTGGGGACTCTGACCTGGAGCCCATAGACAGCTGGCTCATAACCCAAGGAATGGTGAGAAGTCACCAGCTGAGCCAAGCCCCTGTCCACCCCAGCGCTTTCCTGTGTCACCTGCTGAGCCCTCGTGAGTCAGACAGTACAAGGCCGTTCTCTCCTTCTGACTGGGTGCCAAATTTTCCCCTCTTGCATTTATGCAATCTCCTGAAGCCACAGACTTCCAGCCCCAGAAATACCTTCTCTGGTTTTCTGCTGAGGTCCGTGCCCCTGGGTCTTAAGGGTCTGGGACATTGGTGGGAGTGAGGGGAGGGCTCCTTCCTTCCTTTTACTGTCTCTGGAGCTCCCGGCAGTATTCACTTTTCCAGGATAGAGCACAAGTTCCTGTGGCTTTTGCTTCAGAAGGGACATTTCTAAGAGAACAGACTCAAAAGCATCCTCTGATAGGTTGGAGAAGCCCCCTCCAGCCTATGAATTTGGCAGTCCTAGGCTGATGGGTTTTTATGATGGACTTATTTGTGTCCACTGGGTCCCTTAGAAGAATTTGAGACATCTTCAAGAAACACACAAACACAATGGGAACAGAGTGAAAAGAAGACAAAACCAGGGGAGGTTTTTTTCTTTTTTTTTTAATTTAAATTCAATAGCTAACATGTAGTACCTCATTAGTTTTTAAGCCAGGGGAGTTCTAATATCATAAACACAGTTCTCTACATGAAGTAGAGCTTTTCTGCCACCGAGTCCTGAGTAGGCCTCTCCTGCCTCATCTGATCAGGTGGCCCTGAGTCTGGTACAGAGAGAGAGGGTGATCTCGTTCCAGGCTGTTTGCCTTGGAGTGATGATTTCATTCCTAATTGAAGCCACAGCCCTCACTGAGCACCTCTAACATAGAGACCAAAGGTCTGTGCGTGCGTGTGTGGTAGGACTGGAGCAGGAGAGGATACACAGAGGGAGATATGATAAAAAACAGTGAAGCGTCAGCCTCTGGGTAGAGCCTGGCAGACACTAGGCACACGCACCGGGGGGGACGCATAACTGAGCCCTGGAAACCATGCTAGCCTGTGGCCAGCGTGTCCAAGATGGTAGGCAGCACAGTGGGGGTCACCTGCCTGAGCAAGGTGTGGCCAGCATGCAAGGCCACGGGCCACATGGAGCTGTCAGAACCGAGGGGGTGGGGAGATCTGCCTGCCACCCCGGCTTGGAGCCAGGGACCTTTGCACAGCTCTGTGTCTGTACTAGACCCCACAGCCATTCTTAGAGACATAGGCTGCCTGGGCCCCTCATTTACTTCTTCAGGGACAGGCTGGGGTTCGGGTCCCCATGTGTGGGTGGCCTTCGAGCAGGACTCCTGGAGACCACGTCCACGCCAGTTCCAAATTGGGACGATCCAGCCATGTGTCCTTGTGCCTACTAATCCTGCAAAAAAGGATACTGTCCGTACAAACTACCCTGAATGTGGCCTTGGCAGCTGGTGGTGGTACCTGCCTCTGCCCACACAGAGCCTCCCTCCTCCGCCCTGTCCCCCACTAGAGCTCCAGTCTCCAACTTCCCAGAAACAAGCCCAACTAACAGCTAACCCAGTATCTCACCTGCCTTACTGCAGTGGTTTTTTTGTTCTTTTAAACAACGTATATTAATTGCTTTGCCTTATTTCCCGTAGTGTAGAAACCCTGAGTCTTTCTAAAACCCCCGAGTACAAATTCTTTACTTGGAAACTTTTTGTACTATTGAGTGAGACTGAAGAGCTTCCAGACTCTCCCTCATGTTTGGGTGGCAGTGGGATGCGTTGTAGGGAGGATTTCACAATTCTCTGGAAAGAACACACCTGAGCTTTTCAGAAACGGTTCCTGTTGCATCATAAAATCAGACTCGTGGGTTTCCTTTGTGGAATTGGGGCTTGGTCTCCTGGGACTCTGGATGCCTAGATTAACAATCCCAGATTCGTTACCCATCGAAGAGAACTCTGAGAGGCATCGTGAGCCAGCCTGCCCGGAGACTGCCAGTGCTCTGCGTTCCCCCCCCCCCCCCCTCTAGCCTCTCCATATGCAGAGTGCAGCCAGAGGACCGAATGTAAGCCCCAACCAGAGCAGCAGTAGGTCAGTAGGAGTGCCCTGCTGCCGAAGCCCAGTTTGGGCCTGGGAGCAGTAGGGTGCCCTACTCAGGCCTGGAGTACCCCCCCCCAGACACAGCAAGCCCAAAGCCACAAAGATCACTGGCTGTGGCCGGGGTGGGGGGGGCCCATAGAGGGACAGCGGACAGCTCCCCCAGCGTTCATGTCCAAATCTGCCACTTCTGGTACTCAACATGCCAGTTTCTCTTCAGACTCTGAAGATGGGCCGGGCACGTCTCCCCCATTGCCTCAGCCGAGCCAGCCCTGTGGGCGCTGGTCTGTACGGGGAGGGTGGTCCCGTGCCAGCTTCCTCTTTTTTTGTCTTCACATCTTTTTCTTTCTGTTCCCCTCGCCCAACACCCTCCCCTTCAGACCCTTGGACTAGTCTTCAGCTTTGGATCATTGCCCAAGAAGATGCTAAAACCGTGGCGTGGCAGAGGCCACGGTCTCTTAGGGATCAGCTGGGTCCGTCCTCATTTGATGGATGAGAACACTGAGGCCTCCCAGGGGCCTGGTGACGTGCCCAAAGCCATGGGGCAGTGACAGAGTCCATTGCTCTCTTCCCTGGCTAAGGCCTCTCCCTTCCCTTCCATCGGCATGGCCGGGGGCGTTCCCTCTCCCCCCCCTCCCTGTTTCCGCAGTTCCTGTTTGGGGAGCAGTGTGCGTGTTTAGTCTGTGTCTGGTAGCACCCACATTATTAGAAGGAACTTTACCCTGGCAGAATACTCAAGGCATTGACTTATCAGGGCGGGAGGTTTATATAGCTAAGGTATTGTGTCCAACCACAAGCAAGTCAACCCTTGCCCTGTGTTATATAAGCTTTACTGTTAGCTGCAGGGAGATTCCTGCCCGGAGGCCAAGTGCCTTTTGTACTGGAAGGAGTCAAGGCCAGCCGTGTCCAATATCCCTGGGTTTCGGAATTAGAAAACAGAACCCTGACCTGGAAGTTAAGGGGTTCAGAGTCCTGAGTGGTGAAAACTAAATATGACCTAGCCATCACCCTATTTCACAGATAAGGAAACTGAGGCCAAGACTTGTCCAAGTTCCGTCCCCATCCCTCCTCTGCCTCTTCACCCGAAGCCCTGAGCTTTCTTAGGATAGGAGAGGTTCCAGGGCTCTTGAGTGAAGAAGCAAGTCCAGAGAAAAGTGATTTGCTCGGAAAGTGATCTGACAAGCCCAGCCAGAGGGACCCATCACCCAGTGCCCTAGCTCCCGGGGCTTCGCCTGGAGGATGCGCTTCCATAAGCACGCTATTTATTTGGAGATGTCTAAGAGGAGGAAGAAAAGTGTTCCCATGATCCAGCTTTTGGGAAAAAAAAAATTTTTTTTTTGAGGGGGTGAGGAATTTCTCAAATGTCAATGTTTATTTTCTGAGTGTGCTGGCTTTCGAGATTAATCCTCAAAGAAGAAAACTGGAGCATGATACCTAGCCTCGAGGGGATGACTTTGGAACAGGAACAAAAATATTATAAGCCAGATCTGAAGGTTGAAGGCCTGTGACCCCTTCATGGCATTTTTTCAAGCTCCTGCCACACATTGGAAAGCTCTGCCCCTCGAACCTCCATTTCTCCTTGATAGGTTAATGTTGGGTAGGTATAAAAAAGCCCAGCGCACGCTCCCAACCCACCCTGGTTGGGCGTTTGTTTCTGTTTGGAGATGCCGCTAACTTTCCAACTTTCCACGCTAACTTGGCGTGGCACGCATCGTCCCAGATGCCAGATATTCTGAGTTAGAGAAGCATCAAGATAATGAAAATTGGCATCTCCTGTCCCAGGAACATGTCAAGACAGAAGTCCTGCCAGCGAGCGTGAAATTAGCAGGTCGCGCCCTGCGTGCCTTACTGCTTTCTTTTTGATGGGGGGAGGTGGGTGCTGCCTTGGGTGCTGTTAGCACATCCACTCCAGGCATCTGTGCCCTCTGGAGGGAGAATCACATGTTCCTTGTCCCTAGGAGCCTTTTCAGGGTGATTTGAACTCCTTGACATTTTTTCCATTGCAACGTTAAGTTCCCAGGAAGTCAAAGAAATAATAATGGCAACGTAGATAGAATCTTCCTAATCTGATCTGAGTGGTTGGGCCTGCACCTTAACGAAGATGCCTGTGGGCTGCCCACACTGGGTCTCTAGTTAGGCCCAGTATACATGAAGCTACTCCAGGTGCCTGGAGCAAGGGGACAGCCAGCCTCACCAGCTGTGTGTGCGCACAGAGCCCCTCCAGGATCGCAGACCCCTGCACAGTGTGCTCCGGCAGGCTTAGAAGTCCTTGCTCTTCCTCACACCCCAAACCCCATCAGCAGCAGGTTTCCGCCTCCAGGAGCGGCTTGTCCCCATCAGGGCAGGGCTGGCGATGGGAAATCTTTGTTCTTTTCCTTTGTTAAGGTCATGTTATTTTTTAGATTTGGCAAACACTAAGGCAGTCCTCTGATTGCTTATTTTAACTGTATTCTTACCCTAGATTGTGACGCTGGGGGGAAACCAGCTATAGACACAGTGCTGGCGAACTTTCTGGAAATAGTGAACTTGTTAGCCACTCTTGCATTCTAGCCAAATGCAGGTTTCAGAATCACTCCCCCACACAGCCCCCGCCCCAGGCCTGGACACGGGTGAACCAGGCATGGAGACGGCTCAGGAGCCCATGAGGCTTGTCTTTGTTGGCTCAGGACCCACTCACCCCCCTGGCCACTGCTCCCCAGTACTCTGTTCTTTCCCTGAACTCTTTTTCTTTGGCCCCCGAAACCCAGCCAGCCATTGAGAGCTGGGAAGACGGGGTGAAACTAAAGGAGCCACCGCATTCCAGGCCCGCTTCGTGATTCTTCCCTGAAGAGACACAAAGCCCACTAAAGCCCTGCCGTCGCTTTGGTCATCAAAGCTCTAGCTTATGCCCGTTTCTGTTGGCAGTGAGATGGGCCTGCCTGCTGTAAGCCAGGCCCTACCCAGGCCCCGGCTCTCCCCTCCTCCCACTCAGAGAGATACACCAGGACACGGTCTGAAACACTTTCAGTGCCCGCCTGACCACCTGCACCCCCGCTCTGGGCGGACTGCCACCTGGCGTCCCCAGTGGCTTTGGAGGAGGGGCCCCTGGTATCTCCTCTGGTCACCTCCAGAGGCGAGGCCCGACAGCGGGTAGGCAGGACTCTTAAAAGGGTTCTAACCCGATGAGCTCAAGTTCAAGTTTAAAACCAGCCTGAAGGACCAGCACATTCCTGAGATGAGAAGGGACTTTGCAGCCCTGGGCTGAGAGTAGTCAAAAAGTTATCCATTTCAAGAACGCGTACCGCTGCCCTCCCATCCCCAACCCCCGGCACCTGCCGGTCAGCCCTGCTTCTTAGAACTGGCCACCTCATCGCTTCCCTCACCTGCCATTTCATATGTGGCTGCCTTGTGTTGCCCGCACCTGCTGTGCCAACGCGTTTTTTTGCTCTGTGTACGTTTTGGTTTCGTTTGGGGGTTGCTTTTGACGATTTCCTTTGTTCGGTGTTCTGTCTCCCCTCGCCTGGCTATGGGGCTGCCTGACCCGCTGCTTGCCGCCTCCATAGATCCCCGTTGCGCAGCCCTCTGTCATGGACGACATTGAAGTGTGGCTCAGGACGGACCTGGTGAGACTCGACTTTTCTCTTTCACGTGCGGGCTGTGGCCAGGCAGAGCGCTTCTGACGACGGGCCCCAGGGCCACCGGCTGCTCCCGCCACAGGATGGCGGAGGGGGGTGGCGAGCCAGCTCTGCTCACTTGCCCTCCTGCCCACCCTGGGCTGTGGCTGCCCCAGGGCACCTGCTCCGGGCACAGCCCCTGAACCCCGGCCAGCCCGGGGCCGCGGCAGGCAGGGCTCTGGCTAGCTCCGGAGCACACACTTGTCCCCCAGTTACTTTACTGTAGCAGCTGTGTGTGTGCTTGGGTTTTTGGTTTTTGTTTGTTTGTTTTTTGCTTTTTTGGTTCTTTTTGCTTTGGGTTTTTTGGATCCCAGTGGGGTTTATTTATAATTTTTTTTTCCTTTCCACTGTGAAATTATGCGGACATGAGTTGGGTGTTTTGTTTTTCAATTTACTGCCATTCCCACTTCCCCAGCATCTTCTGGTAGCTTGGATTTGAAAGAACCCTTGCCCTAGAGACTATTATCTTTATCCGCAGAGCTAGGACAGGAAGGTGAGGACATCATGCATCTGCAAGTGGTAGCAGGTCCCAAGAAAGGAGGGCTGCTGTGGCTGGTCCCTCTCTCTGCTGCTTATGAAGCACGTCTACTGGCAGTGGCTGTGTGGGAGGCAGAATGGGGTTTATTGGCCAGGGGCTGATGAAGAAATGCACTCTGGGAGGGGAAGCGGCCTGCCCAAGGGCATGGGCTGGGCAGAATCTCCCTTAGTCCTGGAGACACCTCATCTCTAGCTCCTCGCTGCCCCCTCTTCAGGGGACCCTGTCCCCAGAACAGAGCATCTTTAACCACAGGGTTGGCCTGGCTGGCAGGCGGCTGCAGGCTCGGCCCCCTTCTACATTAAGGTACAGCCCCCTAAGGGGACACCTCCACACAAGGCCAGGCTCTCTGAAGACACTCATTGCCCAGCAAGGCAGACACCCGGGTGCCGTGCCAGGGGAGGAAGAAAATGCTACCTGGCCTCTTTCCCAATGGAATGCCTGGAAAAGAAATAGCTCCTCTCACAGAAAGAAACAAAGCAGGAAGGACCAAGGCACTCAGCTCACAAGGCAGGGGGGCGGCCCAGGGTTCAGAAACAGGGAGGGACCCTTCCAGCAACGCTGAACAGCAGGTCATGGCAGAGCCAGGAAGGAAGCCAGGTCTCCCGGCTGAGCCCAAGGCCTTGTCCACTTCCCCGTCCAGCTCCCTTCCCTGTTCCCAGCGACCACTGCGTTCTCCAAACAAACTGCATTGTTATGAGCTCTTAGAGCGTCCATGGCTTCTCAGAAACCGGCAGCAGGTGACCAAATCTGGGCCAGGGGAGGCTGCGTTGACATAGCTTCTGGTGGGACGGCACTCAGCAGCCAAAGACTGCCTGGTATCAGCCCCGTGCCTGGGGCTTCATGGCTCCGTCCCTTCCAGGTCTCATGAAGTTCCCAGCTGTTGGCACGGACAGTGTGTTCCCAGAACCATGCATCTGCTGAGCGAATGGGCACCTGAGGGGGCCCTGGGCATGCTTGGGGCTCAGCTTCCCTGAGGCCCCTGCTCTGGGAGAGTTTCCATGGCTGGGCAGTGGCCTGCTGTGGTCCTGTCCGGAGCCCAACCCAGGGAACCAGCCTGTGCCTTTTTTTTTTTTGGCCCTTCTGGAGGATCAAAGCCGAGAACTACTCGGTTTGGGGGTTTGGTTTTGTTTTGTTTTTGCTTTTTGAAAAACAAGGATTCCGGGTCTCCACAAGCAGTACTTGACTACTGCAGAACCCCAGGAAGGGGAGGTGAGAGGGTTTGCTCAGTGTGGCCAGGGTGGGGCCCTAATGCTGCTCTCCTTGCTCCTCCCGCAGAAGGGCGATGACCTGGAGGAAGGCGTCACGAGTGAAGGTACGACTTGGCCAGCACCTTTCCAGCTCCCCACCTTCCGCTGGCTCCTCCTGCCCGGGGGTCTTGGGGTGCACAGGGACTGGTACCCCCTCCTCTTCAGGGCCTCTACTGCCAGAGCATCTCCTGGTGCCCATCCTTGCTTGGCCTGGCCTTCTCTGCTGGGGGCTTCTCTGCTCTGCCCCAGCCAGGCCCTGTGCTGACCAGGGAAGTGGCGGAAAGAACGTAGCACTTCAAGAAGGTCACAGAGCTAGTGATGAGTAGGTCCAGGCGGCCACCTGAGGTCAGCATGGTCCCCAGATCTGCAGTCCTAACCAGTTTGTCCCTCCCCCCAAATTCTCAGTCCAGCAGAGAGACGAGATACACGCCATGTCCACGGGGCACGGAGGGCACTTCTCAGGCCTGGCGTCCTGTGACCTCATTTCTGGGGATGCCAGGGGATGATAGGTCGGGTCCTGTCATGCTCCTCCTGTCTCACCCCCACCTCCACCCCACTCTCCTCTGCACCGCCAGACCATCTGCTCAGCCCCCCTCTGCGGGCAGAACCTTGCGTGGTGGATGAGAGTTGGTGGGGGGATGTTCTCTGTCAAGTTTAAGTAGGAACTTGCCCCTCCGGCTTGCCCTGTGCTGCTGGGGAGAATGGAAAAGCTCCAGTTTGAAGGTGGGGCGGGAATCCTCACTCCCCCTTCCCCCAGTACCACCTGCTGGCAGCCAGGCTTCCCGCTTGCCTGGGAGGCAGCAGAGGAGGGAATCCAGGCGGGGTCTTGGGGCAGTAGAGGGCAGGCAGTCCAGGCCAGGCCGCTGAGGGTGGGAATTCGCACGGGGGTGGGGCACGACCCCTGTTGACACAAGTGAAGGGGGCTCCAAGGGGAGCAGGTGGGACGTGGTCATTTGAGCCTCGCTGCGGGCCTAACCCCCTACCAATCCTGGCCCTTGCCCGGGTTTTGTATTGCAGAATTCGATAAGTTCCTGGAAGAAAGAGCCAAAGCTGCCGAAATGGTCCCCAGCCTCCCCTCGCCCCCAGGGGACGCCCCAGCCCCAGCCTCAAACCCCTCCGGCCGGAAGAAGCCGGAGCGATCAGAGGACGCCCTCTTTGCCCTGTGAGCTGGTCTACGGTTCGGCTCCCCAGACGGCAGGTCACCTCCTGTCCCCCCCCCCCCCCCGGTCCAAACGAGGCACTGGCCCCCCGCCCCCCATCTGCAGTCCCCTCTTGGTCCTGTACTGCTGCGTCTCCATGGAAGCACCCCTGTGTTTGCTCCCAGGCCTCCCATGTGGCAGGACCAACTTTAGCCACCTTCTTCCGTCTGGGTGGTGGGACAGCCCCGTTGCAGCCAGAGGCTCTTGCCCCCACCCCCGCCCCTTGTGCCCATAGGCTCCCTCTGCCCATATGTCCTCCCCGGAAGGGCAGGCCATGGGGCCGTTTCCCGAGGAGACACCTGGACTGTCTTTTCTCCGGTCCCCCCCCCCCCACAGAGAAGGGGCTCAGACCCCAGCCCCTTCCCCCGTGTGCCCCACCCCTGCCTGCCTCGGCGGGTCTTCTTGGACCGGCCTACCCTCCCGTGCCCCTGTTCAGAAAGGGCTTGTCTGCACCCGTGGACTTGGTCTCCCTCCCTGGAATGCTGCTCCCTGACGTGGGTCACCCTGCGGCACTGGGCGTGCTCGGCACTTGCGAAGGCTCTGTGCGCGCCTGTGTGTGAGGCCGCCTGTCCGCTTGACCCTCTCTCCGTCACTAAGCTTCTAGGCCGAGCGCCCGCCCAAGCCGGCTCAGCAGCTGAGCCTGGGACCAAGGGGTCCCTGCAGGCTCCTGGCGTGCTGAGGGAGAGCCAAGGGCAGTTGCAAGGATGGCACGCGCCCCGCGGATGGTAGTTGAGAGGCACATGGCTTAGCCCCCACAGAGCTACACTACCGGAAACCAAACTGCCCCATGGCTGCCTCACGCTGCCCTCACACGGTCGGCCCCATCTGGGGAGGGCCCCGCCTGGGGAGGGCCCCGCCTGGGGAGGAGTTGCTCTGGCTTGCTTGGGAAGGCTCGGTGGGTGTGTGAGCCATCGTGCGGCCAGCCCTTCCCGCCTGGCGGTTGGAGCAGGGAGCTCGTCGACACAGGCTGACACCACTGCCTCGGGCCCTGGACACCTCCAATGGAGAGCGAGGCGCCACCCGGCCCAGAACCCCATGCCCAGTCGTGCGCCTCAGCTTCCCCGTGAGAGGCCTGGGGCCTGGCTGGGGGCCCGTCTGGCAGGACCAGCTGGGGAGGTCACACTCCAGGTCCTCGGAGGACATGCAGGAAGCGCCTTTCAGAGCTCAGCCAGCCTGACTCCGGCCCTGCCCTCCACTTTCCCCCCCGACCCCCCCTGCCCCTCAGTCTGCCTGCACACCTCTCCTCGACGTGGTTCACAGGCAGAGCCCCGAGGCCTGCCTGGATGTTCAGAGGTCTGAAGTCCGCTGGCTTGACATGAGCTGCAGAGAAGGTGGCTGGGATGGTCCAGCTGGACCCAGCGACCCAGCTGCTGGCCCTGTGGCGCAGTCCCAAGCACTAGTCTCTGTGAGGGCCAGGGGCCCCCCTTTGTAGCTGGGCCTTGGGGGTCAGGCCTGCGGCAGTCGTGACCCCACAACCGCCGAGCCCAGCATCCTCTGAGGGAAGAGCCAGCCTCCCTGCCTTGTAGAGAGGGAAGTCCCCACGAGAAAGGGGTCCTGAGGGGACAGGAGGCTCCTGGCATGAGTGAAGCCGAGGCCTGCGTCTGCCTGGGGAGACCCCAGCACAGTTGCTCTCGACCCATGGTCCAGAGCTGCCCCCCAACTCCAGGCTGGCCTTGGAAAGACCAGGCCAGCCCTGGGCAGCAGGTGGCGGTGAACCCTGGGAGCTGATAGGAAGGTGCTGGCCCACGCAGGGAAGTGTCTCCTGCCTTCCTGGCCTGGAGCTGCCTCTCCTGCTGTCACCCACACACGTCAGGCCCAGAGGCAACCTGCCCCTACCTGGAGGCTGAGGGGGGGACACTTGCTTGAGGCCTGCCCAAAAAGCCAGGTAGGGGCCCAGGTGGCCTTAAGGGGGTGCTTCTCAGCCCTTCCTGTCCCCAGGGACCACATGACTGCTAGCTGCCTTCCATCTGGGGAACACAGCCCCGGGGCTACATGCTTAGGGAGGGGAGCAGAGCTGTGGCAGGCAAGCTGGCCAGTGCCTACACCCCAGGAGAGTGAGACCCTCGCGAGCCACCAGCCTCTGCACAAGTGTTAGAAATCACAGATACGGTATGTACTTAATTACACTAAATTATTGCTGGGATTCCTTATAAGCACTAATTATACCTGATTATAGGTTAAAATATTTATTTTGTCAAAATATTTTCTTGGGGATGTGTTGAACCTTTTCTGTGTTCATTGTGTGCTAAGATGAGAAAACTAACCATTGCTTCCTGCCTGCCTTTGGGGCCAGCAGGCAGCAGTGACCCAGGGCACGGGTGGGCTTCTGACCGGCCTGCCCCAAAGCGGTCCCTGTCCGGGAGCCCAAGGCACCAAGCAGGCCGACTGGGGCCAGGCCAAGAGGTGACCCACCTGCTTAGCACGCACGGGACAAGGGCTTTCTGAGCTGACAGGGCATGTTGCTGGCGTGGGCCAGAGGGAAGGGTGACTGTAGGTCCGTTGTCTGTCCTCCTGTCTTTGTTTGTCAGCCCCATCAGTGTGAGCGACCACACTGTCTGCCTTGGCTCACTGCCCTTCCCTTGCTTACCCAGGGGTCCAGAGCAAGGGGGCCTGGGGAGGTGTGGGGCCTGCACTGTCACTCAAGGCCCCCACCTGGGCGACTGGTGGCAAGGGCTCTGGATGGCCCCGGGGGCAGCAGGTACCTGGACGACTCCGGCATCGTGGGGCGGATGGCGGCTTGGTCTCCCACACACCTGCTCCTCCTCTTCCTTCCTGCCACCCACCCCCACTCTGCCTCCACGTACACCCGTTTCTAACCCAGGCTGGCCCAGCCTTCTGGATGGTTTGAGGGGGGCTGTGGGCTTGCTGGGGAAAAGCTCCATGCAGGAGGCTTGCGTTCTCAGCTTGGCCTCCGTGGCTCAGGGCGTGTGTGCATCCAGAAGACGCCCCTTGCGGTGCCCGCCTTTCCCAGTGCCCACCTCCTGCCCTCCCTGTGCAGGGGGGTCCACGCCGGGCTTCCCCTGCAGCCAACAGCCCCTGTCCACCCCAGAGTTCCACTCCTCTCGTGTGGGGAACGGGGGGTGGAGATTTATTTCCTAAAGTTTGCACTTAATTTGCGAGGGTCTCAGGATCGTTGGGGGCTACTGCGGAGAGAACTGTGTCACGTCTGTTGTCCAGCTGTCCCCGGAGTCTGACGTTTTGTTGCTGTTGTGCGTTTCTGCGGGCAGAGCCAGGTCTGGAGGGCGGGTCAGTGCCCTCAAGGCTGAGCACGTCCATCCACCCACTGGCTCTCCTTCCAGATGTTGTCTCTCTAGTTTGGGTTCTTGCATGTAAAATACTCCACAATAAAGAAACGAACAAACTGTTCCTCTGTGATCTCTCTGGAGTCGGCTGCGACGGTCCAAAGGGCCTGCCCGTTCTGGCCCCCTGCTTTCTCTAAGCAGGGGGCCACCTGGGGGTGGGGCCTCTAGAAGGAGCAGCATGGGCAGCTTGCCCCACTCCCCGCCCCCCTCAAGTGTGCCCAGGCTGTGGGAGCAGGGCCAGGGGAGTCTGGGCTAGAGGAAAATCCCCATGCTGGTCCCGGTCCGGCTATCCTGGGGCACAGCCTGGTTTCGGGGTGTTGGTTGTAGCAGCTGGAAAGCTGCCACGGCCTCTGCCTGAGAGCTCTCCCAGGGCCTGTGCTGCCTCCTGGGTCTCCTTCTGGGTCCCAGGCACTCGGCCCCACCGCCTCAGCCCCCCTCAGCCGGGCTGCCCGAACTTGGCTGGGCATCCTCCGAATTATCTGTACAGCTTGTGCTGGGCACTGAATTTGAGACGTGCTGTTCTAAGAACCCCCCTCCCCGCCTCCCAGTCTTAGAAACAGCTTTCTCGAGATAGGATTCACATAGCGTAAAATGCACCTATTTAAGGTACACGATTTAAGTAGCTTTTATTTTTATTTTTTGCTTTTCTTAAGTAGGCTCCACACCCAGCACGGAGCCCAGTGTGAGCCTCACGACCCTGAGATCAAGAGTCCAAAGCTTCACCGACTGAGCCACCCAGGTGCTCCTGGGTAGTTTTTAGTTTTTCACAGAGTTGTGCAACAATCACCACAATCAACTTTAGAGCATTTCATCAGTAATCGCTCCCCCATCTCCCCACACCCTCCAACCCACTCTCCCTTTTAAAAAGGTTTCTGGGGGTGCCTGGCTGGCTCAGTCTATGGAACATGCGACTTGATCTTGGGGCCATGAGTTCGAGCCCCACGTTGGGTGTGGAGATAAACTTTAAAAATTTAAAAGGTTTCTGTCCTCTCCACCTGTCCTGCGAGCTGGCCACCCTGGGGTTGCTGCCAGACCCCATGGTCCTCTGGGATGCAGGCCTCAGCAGGCCCAGAGGCGCAGGGGTCCTTGAGGGGCGCATTGTGGGGGCCGCATGGTGCCTGTGTCTTCAGTGGCTCAGAGGAGGCTGGGAGCCCTTTAATCCTTACAGGTTCCATGATTCGAGGATGGACCTCAAGCGTGGTGGGCTCATCAAAGCCCCCAGGTGAGCCTGGAAGAATTGCAGGGACATCTACCTAACCTGTCATGTGCAGGTGAAGAGACAGGGCTGGGAAGACCCACTTCCCTAAGTTTTCCCAAGGCTTGGCAATGGGGTCAGTGCTCCAACCCAGACCTTCGGCCTCCTAGGCCAGGGCCATGGAGGGGTGGGCAGCAGGGGAGGCCATCCCATCCACCTGGAACACCAGCCCTGTGGGGAGATAACTCAGGAGGGGGCTGCCCTGCCTCATGATAGGAGGCAGGTGGGACCCTGATTGGGGGCCACATTGGGACCATCACCAGCCCAGGTGATGCAGCAGCACCCAGCTCCCTTGAGCCTGTTGCCTCGATGGGGTCTAGGGACCTCTGTGAAGGCTATGCCTGTTTCTGGCCAGTCTGAATGAGATAGAGGCTCCCATAGCAGGGGGAGTGTGGGAGTGGGCCTCTGAAGTGTGGGAGACTCCCCAGTCCCCAGTCCCGGTGAATAGAAGGCATGGATCCTGAGCCCGTTCTCTGCCCCTGGCCCTGTTCGAGGCACCGTGGGTGCCAAAGGAGGCCTGAGCTCTGTTCTTGCCCTGTGGACTTGCCAGGACACTCGGTCCACTTTCAGCACATGTTTCTGAGAGCCTGCTGTGTGCCGGGTTGGCGCTGGAGGGGAGGGGCTGCTCGAGTCCTCCCCTCAGAGAGCTCACGGCCTGGTTCAGTTCCCAGAATCAAGGACACTCTGCAGCCAGGAAGCACTGGAGCCCTCTTCCAGAGATTATGGGTGGGGGAGGTGGCTCTGGGGGAGCAGCCAAGGTCCAGAGTAACTGCCTGCATGAAGTTGCAATGGGCAGGACAGCCATGGGAGGGAGAGGGTGGTGAGGCAACACTGACCTAACGGATAAGCCTCCTGGGAGGGACCGCAAGATCCCTGGTAGGCACTTGCCAAGATGCATTTCCCCTGTACATTAACAGCTGTTCCTAAAAAGGAGGGGTTCTGTGGAGAGAGACGTTTGGGAAATGCTGAAGTAAAGTTATGTAGTGTCAAGATCTCTTTGTCCAAGATAAAGGTAGTTTGTGGCCCAAATTCCTTGTTTAGAGATGCTGTACTGGAGCTTAAGTTGTGGTAGAAAGATGTTTGATTTAATCAGAAAGAATGTCTTAGCTTATGCAACAAAAGTTCTGATAGTTCAGCTTCAGGCATAGCTGGATCCAGGTGCTTAGGGATTTGGTTAGGAATCTGCTTTCTCTGGGTTGGCTCTTCCATGTGGTTGACTGAAGGCCACCTGCAGCTCCAGGCTGACTTTCCACTAGCAGAGAGAGGGTATTGCTCTCTCAGGAGTTCCAACAAAGTTCCAGAACCCACTCTGAAAAACCAGACTGTTCAGAGGGAAGATGAAATCTCAGGAGGCAGGGCACCTGGCTGGCTCAGTACGTGGAGCTTGTGACTCTTGATCTCAGGGTTGTCAGTTTGAGCCCCACGTTGG